CTACGCGTGCGTGTTTGTGTTCGTTCCACAGCAGCAGATGTGTTCGCCTCAGTTCCCTGATTCATCACACATTCACAAACATATTGCTGAAAATCTTTAAAAAAGGCATCACAAATCCACTGCAGCGTTTACAATTGTACGATTGTGGTGAGCACCACATCACAGCCACGTATGAAGACTTTATTTAAGAAAATATATTAAAGGAAAGGTCGTATCGACCTGGATTTGAACCCCGTTGGGCAAAACATCAAAACACCGTAGGCTACTGGCAAGTGCTTTTTTTATTCTCTTTAGGGAGTGCCCCACGGAGACTGACAGAAGTACCTCACCCATGACATAATTTATCCATTACGATGACGTAGATCCGTATGGAAGAAACCTTTTGGTGAAGTGGATCTAAAACAATTGGTTACCTTTGGGCGTCTTACAACACGTCCAAACATGTGCAACGCTACCTTTTCGCGAGGCTGCAGCTCAGCATCGACACATTTGGATAAAAAAAAAAAAGCACATTGTTTTTGGACGGCCATTGCGTGACATTTACCACAGCCACGTACAAAATAATACAGTTAAGAAAATGTATATTAAAAGATTGAGCTGACCAGGATTCGACCCATGGAGCAAAATACACATTTGCCAGGTTGGAAGGCGTTAATCATGCTAGACAAATAACACTTACCAACGTTAGTTGGAGAGACGAGGCAATGACAAACTCCTCTGATGTTGAACTGCACATGTGTTCTGGATGAACTGAGATTGCGCGTTTAACGTCACGTTCAGGAGCAGTCGGTCATGATTGACACTCCACAGTGAGCATTTTTTGGTTGAAAAGACCATTAAAAGAAGTCTACGCCCGACGTTGGTCTTTTCAACGTCTGTGAATAGACGTTGAAACAACTTTCACTTTTGAACCAATTTGCAACGTGTCTTCAACGTCCGGCCAAAGACCTCTTTTAAACGTTGTTTCAACGGAGAAATTGCCTGCTGGAAACTTACAAGTTACATACTTGTCACAGTTGTCATGTTAACAGCCCTTAACAAGGACAAACACATTATCTATGGTAAATACGTATTTATTATAAATATAGCACTATACATATAACAAACACTTTTGCTATATTACAAACAATACAGAAATAAATATATATCTCAGAGAAAATAATCTATGGAATGTGAAAGTGCAGATACAACTATTCTGTGTGCAACAACAATTCTGTGTTTGTAGACCATTTTTCTGAATCATTGGAACTTCATTATAGATTCTGTAACAAGATGTGGCTCACTTGAGTTGGGATAGTATACCTGAAATCAGCTGCGTCTCCCTCATCCTCACTTGATGATTCTTTGTGTAAAGGGAGTCAGAGTGCACAGAGCAGATTCCTCTGGTCAACGTGTTCAATATTCAATTCAAATCAAACATGCAACACCCTATCCCCTAAACCCCAAAATGTAAAAAAACAACCTGGAGAAACCTGAGGGGAAAACAGCAGGGAAGTAGGTGTGTAGAGTATGAACAACGTAAAAGATGTACAGTACATCCGATTCCTACAACAGAAATGATTAAAATATTGTGGATTATTAAGCCAGGGATAAGGCAGGACCAGTGCAGGGGCAACCATCATCAGACGTAACCTCCATCAGATGCAACCACCACCCACAGAAACCTGTGAGCACCTGGCGGTGTGGTGCGCCGACAACAACCTGGCCCTCAACGCCAAGAAGACCAAAGAGCTAATTGTGGACTTCCGGAAGAAAACTGGCACACACATCCCCATCCATATCAACGGGACGGAGGTTGAGCGTGTCGCCAGCTTCAAGTTCCTGGGTGTCCACATCTCTGGGGACCTCTCTTGGACCCTCAACACCTCATCCCTGGTAAAGAAAGCACACCAGCGTCTCTTCTTCCTGAGGAGACTGAAGAAGGCCCATCTGTCTCCTCAGATTCTAGAGAATTTCTACCGCTGTACCATGGAGAGCATCCTTAAAAACTGCATTTCAGTATGGTACGGCAGCTGCTCTGTCGCGGACCGTAAATCACTGCAGAGGGTGGTGAAAATTGCATTTCGTTGCCTTTTCGTTGCATTTCGTTGCCTCAGTACTTGTACCCTGTGTCACGGTGTGGTTCACTTCCTGTCTTATTTTGTAGTTTTCTGCCACTCGTGTCCCCGGGTAACTTCACTTCCTGCCTTGTCCTGTCATCCCCTGTGATTGTCTAATCGTTTCCACCTGTGTCCAATCACCTGCACCTCCCTAGTGTATTTAAGCCTTGTGTGTCTCTTGTGTCACTTATTGAGTCATTGTCTATCGTTGTGGATGTTTCTCGTCAATCTTCCTGGATGTTTCTTGGTCCCAAATGACTTTTAGGCAACGAACACTTTGAATAATCCATGTATTTAACAATCCTGGCTGCTCCCTGTGCCAAGTCGAAGCGTCCCTGGGCAAGTAATAGAACCACCTATTACTCCATATAAAATTATGTCAAACCATGGGCGTTTTGGAAAAAAGTCACCGCTGCATGTCTAGTAATGTCCTGTAAGTCAAGTCAAGTCATTTTATTTTGTATAGCCCAAAATCGCAAATTACAAATTTGCCTCAGAGGGCTTTACAGTCTGTACACATACAACATCCTCTGCCCCGAAACCCTCCATCGGCACAGGAAAAACTCCCCAAAAAATGAAAAAAACCCTTACAAGAGGGAAAAAAGGGAAGAAACCTTAGGGAGAACGTCAGAGGAGGGATCCCACTCCCGGGATGGACAGACTACAATGGATGCCATGTGTACAGAATGAACAATGTAAGTCAAAGTCATCATATGTAAGATACCGTTAGAAATGCACCGTAAATTTACAGCAATTTGTTACAGTGTAGTTCAATGAGGACGGGTGAGGTTATGGACATATTTGATGGACTGTGAAGAAAAACAATACTGTTTAAACAAGTACTTCTGGAAATGACAATATATATAATCGGGGCCTCAATATTCTCTCCCGACGTGTTAAACACCCGTATTACGCAAGTAATTCGGGTCGACGTGGCGCAGGAGTAGAGAGGGTGCGCAACCGCAAGGTTGGCAGGTCGAGCTGCTCCATGTTCAAGTATCCAAGTGTCCCTGAGCAAGACACCTAGCCCCTAATTGCTCCCCGGGCCAAAATGTAAGAAGCCATGGGTTCAAAATGCTATGTTAGTCGCTTTGGATGAAGGCGTCAGCTAAATGACCTGTAATGTAATAGCGCTTCTCCATCCAGAAAAGGACGTGTCATGTCGAGAACTTTCTTTTTAATTTTTAAATATGTTTAACTTGTATTGCTTTATTTTTAAACTAACCCATAGACTTATACTACTAACCCATAGCATTATATTTTATTTTATTGCTCGTGCACTTGTCGTCCATCGTCGTACTGTCTGCTGTTACGCACCAATCGCCCAGTCAAATTCCTTGTATGTCTGACATATTATGGCAATAACTGTTTCCTCATTCCTGAACGTAATGCATTATACATGCAAGCAATAAATGGACTTTTTGCAACTTTGATCATTCATCAAGACTCTGTTTTATGAGACAAATCATTCTCTTCTATCGAGCTTTTATTGAAATATTCCACAACAATTTAGACGGAAGGGCACCGTAAAATCAACGTACCCACTATAGGGGCCTCCAGGAGGGCCTGCTTTAGCACCCAAAAGGCCCTCTCCAGTCCACGCTCTGCCTCTTCGCCCCGGTAGCCCCCCTTAGCAGCCCATGGAGTGGACCAGCCTTCTTGGCGAAGGCAGGGATAAACCTCCGATAGTAGCCCGCAAAACCCAAAGAGGTGTGGACTTCGCGGACAGTCGAGGGGAACGGCCATTCCTTGACCGCGTCAGTTTTACCGGGATCTGTTGCTACACCTCCCCGACCCATCACATGGCCCCGGTACTGCACAGAGCGCTGAAAAAGGTGGCACTTAAGAGGCTGTAGCTTCAGCCCGTGCTCGGCGAGCCGCCTGAAGACTTGTTCAAGGTGTCCTAGGGGAGCAGCAAAATCAGGTGAGTAGATTATCACGTAATCAAGCTAAATCAGTAAAAAATCATGCACCTGCCCCCCAAGACAGAGCTGCATCAAATGCTGGAAGGTAGCTGGGGCGTTACACAGCCCAAACGGCATTCTCTCGAACTGGTAGAGGCCCACCGGGGTGGTAAAGGCAGTCTTCTCCTTTTCCTTTGGGTCGACCTCAACCTGCCAGTAGCCGCTTGCTAGGTCCAGTGTAGAGTACTAATACGCTCTCTTCAGCTGGTCAGGGACTCCTCGATACGAAGAAGGGGATAAGCATCCTTATGCGTGACAGCATTAAGTTTCCGGTAGTCGACGCAAAACCTGCAGGAGCCATCTTTCTTCTTTACTAAAACCACAGGTGCAGCCCATGGACTGGAACCCTTCCATAATGACTCCCCCGTCCGGCTACTGTACGTCCGCCGAGTCGCCACTTCTCCCCGTGAGGGCCTGGGTTCAATTTCGTTCACCATAGCCTTGCCTCCCATCACTCCCCCCCACCACCCCCCCTCCCCCCCGTGTGACATCTCTTTTGAAGGTTAATACAGCCAAATTGGTCATGCGTTTTATTCGAGAAATCAACAAAAGCACAAAGTGAAGCAGCTTTTCCCTCCTGGTCTTCTTCTAGGTTTGGAACCTTTTACTTAGAGAATAAATTAATGCGAGACAAAAAGGAAGCACAGGCAAAGGCGGACTGCACGCTCTTGTAGAAACAAAAAAGGGAAGAGGCCCTGGCAATGACGTAAAAACAAGATTACCAAAAACAAACACTGGGAATATCTGACTACAAACATGCAACTCGGGTAAAGACAAAAGATGTCACGGACAAGTGGGGGAACTGAGGCTTAAATACAGGTGGAGGTAATTGCAAACTAAACTCAGCTGTAGGGAGAAACTAAGTGTGAGGAACTAAACACAGGAAGTGCAGTGGTTACAAAAATAAAAACAGGAAGTTAATCTTAAACGTCTCGTCGAGTCGTCACAGGCGAGTATGAACCCGTAATAAGAAACAAGAACTTAAGAAATAAGAAACACCACTGCTGCAGCAAAAGACAGAGAAACGGTGTAAGTTCCAATATAGTGTTGTCAGTTAATTTTTAATTTACACACTAATCAGAATCCATACGTTTTACTAATTCCAGTGTTAAAATTACATTTTTTGCTGTTCGTTAGAATGCACTACACACCCATGCTCATATTTAATCACAAGAATAATATCGCTGGTAAAAACTGGTACAGTGGTATTGGACCTACAATGTGTTTTATTCAGGCGATGTAAATATATCCCACTATTCAGAAGCTGTAAAGAAATTCCACTTGACGAAGAATACTGAAGCGAAAGGAGAGGATCCAAGAGAAAGTCTTTTAGCAAACTGGAATTATAAAAGCAACGCTAAAAGTTTTAATTGTAAGTGAACTAGAAACAACTGAGTTTTAACTTCTAACAAATGTAAACGAACACAAAGGGATTCTGTGTTTGCTCATGAAGTCACAGGTCATTAGGCGCATTTTTTTGTTCGCAATTATTAACCACTTCTCCTGTTCCACCCTAACCCAACAATGTTTTATGTGCGCTGCTCCTCCTCTGCAGCCGCCCGGAGGGGGGCGAGATCTCAGCAACCCTTCAGACGGGTGGCATCGCTCGGATCTTTACCTGAAAGCAGGTAAGTTTTCAGCAAATGTCACCCCTCCCCGCGTGCGACATCTCTTTTTGAAGGTCGTTACAGCCAAATTGGTCATGTGTTTTGCGCTTCTGCTGCGGGAAACGCGTAACCGATGCTCGCGCTGCTTTGTGCGTTTTTCTCCACAAACAAACGGAACTCCTCAGTCAACGAGAGCTTGGAGGCTGGAAAAATGTCGAGGACGTTTTCCCAATTGTTGAGGTACGCAGAGTGTTTTTTTTTTTATTTGCTTGACTTATTTGGTGATCGAATTCTCTCATATTTATACACGCATATTAAATCATTGGTCTTCTGAGTACTGGTATGGTGCAGCATAATACTAATCCCATGCTTTTCACCGTGTTCTCCACGTGTAGCTGGACAATATCAATAAATTCAATAAAAACTTAAATTGTACTTGTAACGTCACTCATCTATAGCAAATTGTAAATTGGCTTATTTGAGGAAATTGCACTTTCTTGTTTCTTGTTCTCCTGAGTTTGTACCCTATGGTTGAATGCACTTATTGTACGTCGCTTTGGATAAAAGCGTCCGCTAAATGACATGTAATGTAATGTAATGTAATATCTCATAAAGCATAAAGCCCTGTGTTCTCTTTCAGGAGCACCGTCGCCCGCTGCTGTCTTCTCTTAGTCCTTGTCAGCTCGACTGCTTTATACTTCAGGCGAGTAAACAAGTGTTCATTGTTGGTTCATGAGCACATGTTCCACACTATTTAATTGATTTTTTTTTTAAAGTCACTTGAAGATGATTTCCATTTTTTAATTGTAGACATGTTTTAGACATCGCGGACATCCTGCCGGCGGCCGAGGAGAAGCTTCTGAGACAGAGAATCAATTTAGACCACACGCTTAACTTCGGGTAAGAGACCCCTTTGGTTTCGTCTGGAAAGAGTTCTAAGGAAGTGTACGTGCAAGGAATTTTGATTTAGAAGCAGACAGAAATGCACAGAAGGACAACAGGTGAATCGTGACAGCACTAATAGATCTGTGATGGGGAAAGGCGTTGGTCTGGACGGTTGACATGCAACGTTTCAATAGAAGATGGATGTTGCGGTAAAAGCACGTAGACAATATTGCTGGTTGCAGCCGGTTCGACGTGATCGTTGTTTTGTTTGCTTTGTTGTAACAACGACTCATCTGACTCGAAAACGGTGAACGCATTCTTTGCTTCACAGTCATTTCTCCCATAACATGTGTGTTGTGTGCAAATGCGCAGTGTGTTCGGGCGGCTTATTCTTATTGTACTGATTATTTATTAAATAACTAATTTCAAAGGACTTTTAAATGGATGCTAATGTTTATAAATGGGGCGCCGTTTGTAAAATGCCGCACGTTCTAAAATCCTGCGCAGTTTCGCTACATTTAGCATTATCATATGAACAAAAAAGCCGACAATATTCATATGTCACATTTAACATTTACATTTAATATTTAGATTTAACATTTGGATATAACATTTAACATTTACATTTACATTTAACATTTATATTATTTAACAACTGTGTGTTACTGCCAAACATCCTTGGAGTTATTGCATGAATTTAATTTCTCTCTAAATGGTTGAAAAAGTGACATATGAATATTGTTGTGCTTGTTTGTTTATATGATAATGCTAAATGTAGCAAAACTGCGCAGGATTTTACAAACCGCCCCATAGCCATGGAACTAAAAAAAACACTGTGCTAATAGACACGCGCCATTTCACACCTTTATTTTGTAATTGAGAATGTCGAAGCTCAATTAACACACAACACACAGACTAACTAAATTAAATATAGATTTTTATACAATGACGACTTTTATGTCTTTATTCAGATGCAGCTAATTGAATGTAAAAGGCAACATTTAGCACCATTTGTGTTTCGCATTACAATTGTTTTTGTTTTGTTTCACATAAACCCATATAATGTGTATTTTGTCAGTTCATGACACCAAACAAAAAAGTTTGGGAAAAGTTTTGGGAGTCCTTGGTTTTAAATCTCCACGCCATTTGGCTGATTCAAATATTTTTCATTTCATCATCCATTTCAGGGCCAGACCGCTTGTTCAAACAATGTCACCTTGGAAAGCTCCTATCTTGTGGGAAGGGATGTTCGACCCAGATCTCTATGATCAAAAGCACATCCAAAATGAGTCATCCGTGGCCCTCACCGTGTTTGCCGTGGGAAGGTTGGTTACCAGAACTTTAACACCAGCATTGTATTCTTGGCCTGGTAGCATTTGGAATTAAGAAACACCAAACCGGAGTAAAATAGAGAAACTCTGAATGCATTGTGTGGCCGTACGTAACGTAGTGTTTTTATTAATTTTCTGTGTGAATGGTGGTGGAGAAACAGTGTTTCCTGTTGAGTTTTGTTGCGTTTTTTTCTCATAATTGTTTTCCCCACCCTTAGGTACCTTGATGCCTACCTCAACACCTTCCTTACCTCTGCAGAGAAACATTTCATGCTGGGATTACAAGTGACATATTACGTGTTCACGGACCAACCGGAGAAGGTGCCCACCATCAAGTTCGGTCCTCGCCGCAGCCTGAAGGTCATCCAGGTACAGAAGTACTCCAGGTGGCAGGACATCTCTATGATGCGCATGAAAATGATATCGGACGCCATAGAATCAGAGATACACCACAACTGCAATTATATCTTCTGTTTTGACGTGGATCAGGTGTTTAAAGGCAGATTCGGCTCAGAGGCTCTGGGGGATTCTGTGGCCTTGTTACACGCGTGGTATTACAAACGTCCAAAGCAAAGCTTCACCTATGACAGAAACCCCAAATCCAAAGCATTCATGGAAACCGGAGACTACTACTATCACGCTGCAATCTTTGGAGGTGTGCTGGAACATGTGAAGGATTTGGCAGATTACTGCTTTCTGAACATAATGGAGGACAAACTAAACAATGTGGAGGCGTTGTGGCATGACGAAAGTCATCTAAACAAGTACTTCTGGCTTCACAAACCCAGCAGGCTGATCTCCCCTGAGTACTGCTGGGACCCGGTTATTGCAGAAAACCAGGACATAAACGTCACCCGCCTGGTATGGGCTTCGAAGAACTACAAAGAACTTCGTACTCGTTAGAATTTGCTTGAAGAAACACTAAATGGAATTTTATATTTTAAATTTAGGAAAAGTCTAACATTGTTTACCGTGAGCTTTGAATTGGATTCTTTCTATGAAAGTAGGACACTGGAATAAACTTTGCTCCTAGGTTTTCTAAAATTGAAATACCGTTAATGCCGACAAAAGATATATTGTTGTGAGCAGTACTACTATCTGCCACCAGCTGGGCAGTTACAGAGGAAGTAGCAGAATACAGAGCTTAACATTGAGAGTATAAAACAATATTCTTTTTTGTAAACTCCTGTGACAACCGCTTTCTTTCTGATTGCCAGCAGGGGGCGACTCCTTTTATTAAAAAATATATAAAAATTGTTGTTAAATATTTGGACATATTTGGCTTAAAACTGTAGTCTTAAAAACTGATGGATATCCTCATTCCCTGCATCCACTTCTGTACTGTACATTGAGACAGACTGCTAATTCTAAGAAAAGGAAAAGACAAATATTCTAACGAAAACATATATGTTTAAATTGTCAACAGCAATCTAATCAAAATGAAAGTCACATTATCAAAATAAGCAGAGATGGGCAGTATTTCTATGACATGTATTTTAAATACGTATATCACGTGGTTTGTAACAAAGTACTTTAGAGCAGTGATGTAGTCTACGTGATACACAACAAAATGATACGTATCAACACCGCTGTGACAGAACGTTCAGTCGATGCTATTGATTAAAGAAACAACAAACTAAATTTGTATTTAACCCTCTCGGTACCTTCAAATTTACCAACACCTTTTACCCTTGGGGTCAATTAGACCCCAGCAATGTAAACACCCGGAAAATGATCATAATGTTTTCCTCAGGTTTATGTATTAGGAACTGCCATATACTTTTCACCCTACAATACCGACGGCCTTTAGCTTCATGCTGTACTCATGGATTCTGAGCTGACCCTCCCAGTTGCCGTCCAATGTCCAAGCTCCTCCCTGAAGGCCAGCTCCCCAAAATGTAAATGCAGCTTTGACGTCAACGTCATGCTCCATCAAATGCGTTGAGTGAATGAGTTGTAATGTCCCCAAACATACCTGGGTAGCTGTTAACAAGGGCAAACAACATGTTCCTCGGCCAAGAGCCCAAACTCTCTAAGTTTCCCCGTCATCCTCATGCACGGTCCAATCAAGTCACCCCTCCCTGGTGCAGAAGGCTGTGACCCACCAGCGTAATAATACTTTGAAAGATTTACATGGCAAACTTGAGTTTTCTTCTTACGCTTTGGTGTTGACAACAAATAGTTCTGCTCAGAAACCTGACCCAAAACTATGAACGGGCCATGAAATCGTCACAGATAAATCATTATCATGAACATACAGGCTTTATCGAGACGTCTCAGCATCTAACCTCGCATTGTATTACAAGTTTTGCTGTATCTACTCAATGTGAAGGTCATGAAGCCATATGAGTTAGCTAGGCTATGACAGTGGGTGACCATTTGTAGAAACAATGAATAAATGTAAATATCCGATTTTTTATGTTTCACTAACATGGTGTTCAAGAGGCACCATCGAAAGGTACGGAAGCAACAAAACCTGTGTGTGGAATCATGGAGGGGATTTAGGCTCCTTACCTTTTGTACAACTGGTTTTAATTCTATATTTTGCTATATAGTATACATATGCCTAATGTGTGATGCTATTCGTATGTGATGGGTTGTTGGGCTTTGTCACAGGGGCTTTTAAGTCTAATTAATACAAATATACATATATGCACATCAGTCAAGTTGTTGTCTTTTAGTAGCTTTGTTTAGTTACATTCTGTTACTGTTCTTCTTTCAGAGCTTTGTGTACATGTGTTAACAAAAAGACCAATGAACAGACTTTGCAATGCAAAACGTAATCTGCATACATTCCACCAGCTACAAAAATACAGGATTAGTCTTTGTTTGTGTAGATAATGTAGATCGAGGTACCGTGAGGCATCTCTTGTCAAATAAGTTGAGGGTACATTGACCGCTTCTTTGTTGATAAAGGTGAAGGATGATGATGCCGTAATGTTTTATTAGATTTAATGTCTGAAGCCAATCATGAGTTGATGATACGAGCTGAAGGAACCAATGCCGAGATGCCCATAAAGGCTACTAAATCTAATCAGAGATGTATTGTGACAACATCCTGAGGGCCCTCTGTGCCCGTGCTTCTTATCGGTACCATAATAAATCCAAGGTGTTATCGTTTCGTATGTATGAAGAGGTGGGAGATGCTGCGAATGGTCAAAGTTCGATCTTCCCACAAGTAACCCAACACCTTCACTCTCTGTCCCTGAAAACATCAAATAAAGCCAGAAATCTGGGGGTTATTATGGATTCAGATTTCCACTTGGAGAGTCACATCAAATCAGTAACAAAATCGGCCTACTACCACCTCAAAAATGTGGCACGACTTAGAGGGCTCATGTCAGCTCAAGACTTAGAAACACTTGTACATGCCGTTATAACCAGTAGGCTAGACTATTGTAATGGTCTCCTTGCAGGTCTTACAAAAAAAACTGTCAGGCAGCTCCAGCTTGTTCAGAACGCTGCTGCTAGAGTTCCAACAAAGACCAAAAAATGTGAGCACATTACACCAATTCTTAAATCCTTACATTGGCTCCCAGTATGTCAGAGAATTAATGTCAAAATCCTACTGCTCACATATAAATCACTACATGGTTTAGGGCCAAAGTATATCACTGATATGCTTCCACTACATAAGCCTTCAAGATCACTAAGATCGTCTGACACCAATCTGTTAGTGATTCCCAGAGTAAATACAAATCATGGGAAAGCATCATTTAGTTACTACGCAACAAACAGCTGGAATAAACTTCCTGAAGATTTAAGACTTGCCCCAACTCTGACCACGTTTAAAACAAGACTGAAAACTTTTATGTTCAGCTTCGCCTTCTGCTAAATTTTACCTACATTGCACTTTTAACCTCTGCCTTTAATTAAACAATTTAAATAAGATTTTAATTTATCATTTTATTTGCTGTTTTTAATTGTCTTTTAATTCCTGCATTTTATTTCACTTTATTGTATGTGAAGCACTTTGAGTCTGCCTTGTGTATGAAAAGCGCTATACAAATAAAATTGCCTTGCCTTGCCTTCAATGAGAGAGTGTGTTCAAACCTTGACTGCTGCTGCAGGTTTTTCATTATGTTTTGCATATGTCAGCGGCCCAGGTTAAAAATGGTAAGAGCGAAGAGCCCTAGGAACTCTAAATGAAAGGTTTGTTTCTGTTTGGGAGAAAAGAGGAGACAAGGGCGGAAACACTAATAAAAAAATATTTATTTTAATACAATGATTAGAATATATTGGAAAGCTAAAATAGTCCGTCCATGTTTATCACTGCAACAATGCAAAGTCCCGTGCGTAATTAGTATCTGACTGCCCTCTGCTGCTGCTTCTGTAAATATTAAATGTAAATGTTTGGCAGTAACAAAAAGTTGATAAAAAAAAATATTAAGAAAAATCTGTCCCCCGCAATATACGGCATGTTTCCTTCCTCTTATGAACTGTTTGCTAAGCGAACCGCACCGGGACTCTCCGAGTGCCCGCTCACTCCAGTTCTTCGGAGTGATGCAATAGGGAAACCATTTTTGGTTCCACAAAGAACCTTTCAACCCATGGTTCCTTTGAAGCACCATTTCTAGTTCTTTGAACTTTTGTTTTTAAAACATCTACATGATCAGGATAAAACAAAAACCTGCAGATGTATCACTTAATTTTGTCATTAATTAATGTTATACACAGTAATCTGTAGGCGGCACGGTGGCGTGGTGGTTAGCACTGTTGCCTCACAGCAAGAAGGTCCTGGGTTTGATTCCGCCCAGTGGCCTTTCTGTGTGGAGTCTGCATGTTCTCCCCGTGTCTGCGTGGGTTCTCTCCGGGTTCTCCGGCTTCCTCCCACAGTCCAAAGACATGCTCTGGGGATCAGGTTGATTGAGGACTTTAAATTGCCCGTAGATGTGTGAATGTGAGTGTGAATGGTTGTGTGTCTCTGTGTAGCCCTGCGATTGGCTGGCGACCAATCCAGGATGTACCCTGTCTATTGCCCGAAGTTGGCTGGGATGGACTCCAGCCCCCCCGCGACCCTGTGTGCAGGATAAGCGGTTTGACAATGGATGGATGGATGGACAGTAATCTGTGTGCTACATGCAACAAGAAATGGTCAGAGCATCTGCTGCTCTCTGCACAGCTACAGGAGCCCGTGTGTCTATCTTCAGGATAAAAGCCTCCAAAAATGAAAAGGTTCCAGCTGACAAGGGTTTAAAGCAAGATTAAAAATACCATAGAGCAACAACACAACAGCCAGAGAAAATGATGTGAGCATATACACATAAAATAGTTCAAGGATGATAGATAATGAAAGAAGGTGATGGTTCTTTGTAGGACCACACTGAACCATTGAAGAACCTTCTTTTTTCTGTGTGTACGCTGCTTTATCGTCCGTTTTCCTCTTTTCAAAGCGATACAAGACAACACTATCTTTACTGCGTAAGCTTCTAAAATCATTGGTCATGTTCAGGCACACATACTAATTACAACCAGAAAGCATGCAAATGGCCCCATTGCTGCAAAGTTTAATGTCTGTATTAAGTAGGGTTTTTTTGTGCAGCGGCACCACTTTGAGTGTTGCTTCCTTACTGCGTATATTAACTATGGGCTGGAATTACATCAACTAACGTTCTTTCATTTTCATCTACTTTAAGCACAGACAAGTCATTTTGAAAAGTCTGATACCAGCATAAATGATGTGAGAAGAGAAGGTTTTGTAAAGAACATATTTGGGTGTAGCATATATTCAGAAGTTTCCCTGTGAGCTTGATCTTTGGATTGATAAGGACACGAACACACTGTGTTTGCAAGAGGAAGTGGGTTTTTTTAGAGAGGTTGGTTAGGCTTGTAAAAGTCCTATCTACTGTAGTCTCTTTAATCCAGTGGCTATAAAGAGAGATTTATAATCGTGGTAACACACCTGACTAACTGACTCTTTCATTAATGAATAAAAAAATGGGATTATTAACATTGCAACACAGCGCAACACGTCGGCCAACCAGAAGGAGGCCCGAGGGCCATTCAATGACTGACATTCTGACAGAAAACTCTTCCAGTAGAGGATCTCTGTCGTCACGAGCCACTGAAGCGCCGGGGTCTCTAAGAATAAATCTTCCTATTTGGCCTCAACACTAATATGCCCCGACACTTTGACTCATGTTTGCTTTGACATGACATCCTGTTGAACCAGGATGACAATAGAAGGATGCATCGATGTGTCTCCTGACCGAGAAATGTGCCGTTTGTAGTTTTGTGTTTTTGTTTGAATCTAGTGTTGTTGTTTTTTTTGAAGACTTAACAAATCAAACAGTTTGTTCTAGAACTTCTCGTGAGGCGATGCAGTGTTTGGCTGATATCTTCATAAGGCAGTCAGATATGATCAGTAAACGAATGGCCGCTCTGCTCCTCATCTCTCTTGTGGTTTGGTGGCGGCTGTTCTGCACCCGGTACGTCTGCTTGCCTCATACATTGAATTGAAGGAGCCACACGTGAACGTTTCTTATCTGCGGTTTGTGATGTTGAGATAAGGCTGAGCGCGTTTTTTTTTTAATTATTATTACTTACAAATGAAAACAAATTCTCCTGTCGGGTGGATGGGAACTGCGTCCATGGCAACGGTCTGTTTTCATAGCAGAGGTCGGCTGTAAAGAAAGGTCGGCCTGTAGAATGCCACGGCTGACCAACCTTGATCAGGGCTTCGATAAAGCCGCGTAGGCCTCCTGTCTTGCTTTGGCGCTTTGAGCACCTCAAACTGAGGTGTCGAAACTAGGAAACATCTAGATTGATGAACAGCATTCCAGCGGTGAGGCTAGAAGGGATTTCTTTTCCTTTCGGTTTGAAATGGAAAAAGGGCACATTTTAAAGAATGCATCCAGAACGGTGCGGCAGAAACCCATAAAAGAGCCACAACTCTTTAAGTGCCGATCTTCTCTCAGATTATCACACTTTAGTTGAGCTTTGGGTTTGCGTTGCCGTTACTGTCCCTGTTTTCATGCGCCGCTGTGTCTCCTCCTGTCAGCGCCGATGAAGGTGCAGCAGAGCTGGAGCTGCTCTTTGACCCCGGCCTCCTCGACCAGCACGGCGGGGTCATCGACGGTAAGGAGGCCGCGCTTCAGAACTCATTCCCTCTGAGATGAACGCGAGACAAACGTGATTTTGAATGAGCACACCGGATTGTGGTTGTGTGTTACTGCAGAATACGGCGAGAGGCCCCTCCCTCCTCCTCCTCCTCCATCTACTCCATCTGCTCCACCTGACCCTGAACACCAGCCAAACCTGGAGGAGGAATACTACTGAGAGACAGACGATCCTGATGCAAACCAATGAAGCTGATCTTCCCTGAATGGACTTTTCCCACTTGATGTCACAAATAAAAAACATTTTGTGGTAAATTGTTCCTATTTATCTGACTGTTAGATCCGTTTCACAGGGAAAGACCGTTCGAGAAGGATTTTCAATGACACAAACAAAGAAGCGCACACTAACAATACATGGTAACTTTAGTATATAGTGTACTTCTGTATCTTCAGTGCGTTAATACAAAAGAGGACGTGTCCCATTAGAACCCGTGAGGACACGGCTAGCAGAGAGCGACCTCATCGGTATCCGGTCGGCTATGACGCTACATTCGACTCGGCGGCGGCGCAAGATGTCGCGACATCACAGGGTGGCGGGAAGCAGCAGCGCGCGTACGGGGGATGTGAGCGTAATAATGACAGGACGCCGTGGGATCTGCATTAAAACTTTAAATAAAGAATAATTCACAGCTAAAAAAAAAATAAAATAAAAATAAAGGTCAATTTCACACACTACGTGTTGAATCCGTACAACGTTGTATTTATAATTACAGATATTAAATTATTTATTTATATATGGCATGTCTGTACACCCTTTGTAAGGCGCCCGCTGCTATCGGGAACCGGTGGGAAAAGTCAGCGCTGCCTTCTTGGTGCCGCCTTGTTGCCTCCATCAGCATCCTCTCTTCGTGTTTCACATCGTCGTCGTTGTTGTTGTTGTTGTTGAAAGGAAACAAACCAGTTTCCAGATCCTTCATTGATGAACCTTTTCTCTTCTGTTTAACGAGGAGGGTTAGTGGCTGTTTGCCACTGGAGAACAGCGCCTCTGTACCCGCGGGTGTTGATAGATGCAATAGTTGAAATTCTAGCTGAGCAGCGTATCAAATAGCGTTGACAATCTGCCGTGGGTGATGCCACGCATGCTTTTCACAGAATGTTCCCACCTTCCGGGAAGATGTGCTCTAACAAATGACATAACCATGAATTTGCATGATGTCATTTGCTCTAAAACACCACAGGTGCAGCGCAGCAAACGCATCCTTCATCGCAATTTGCATTCAAAAGTCGCCCGAGAGCGATCCCTTGGAACGGGACGCCGTCCCGCTGAGGTCCCGGCGACCTGATCGAAAAAGAGGCACTGCTAGTGAAGATACGAAGACTTCTTTTGCCCTCTTCGTCGGCGCCACAAACCACCACGTTTCCCTACGAGGAGCCGCTTTCTAGAGACGACCGCACCGAGGAGGATCGACGCGTCACCGAACGTCTCATGCGTGGTCCCAACGAGGTTAAAGAGAAGCGCAGTGCGGCCGAGGGATGTAGAACTACCGGCTGGGGGCATCGTTTGGCGAGGGGGGGGGGGGGCTTAAAAAAAAAGTGGAAAACATCTTGTTCACGTGATGCGGAGAGCTTTTCAGGAGATGTTTATGATCTACATGTTTAGTGTATTATGCAACAGTGATCTGCTAACTGCTACTCCTGCATTGCATTCTGGCCTCCTCATCAGCATCTTCACATTAACGTCTGAAAGGGTCACAATGCAGAGAACGTCCCCTTCAGCTGGATTTTTTCTTGTTGTTGCCACTGAACAATGTGATCACCTTCAGTTCACGCTCCCACACGGGTTTCCTTCCTTCCGTCCATTGTGTGCAGAGGGAAGGGAGCGTTCAGTAAAATTAAACCTCTGCTAAAGCAAACTCCCATTGTGTTTCCAAACATCAACCCATTTTTTTTTTTTGACAAGTGCAAATATAAGCTGGTGCACTCAAGTTACGGCTCCCGGGCTTTTGGCGTTGCACCTGCTCTGATTCCGCTGCAGGCAAACCCGCTCCACGGAGGCTGCAGCAGTGCAACGTTTGTGCTTCCTCCCACACCCCCATTTTGCATGTTACCCCCCCCCCCCTCCTGCCACACAAGTTTCCCCTCCAAGTTGCGATAAGGGGCTCCTTTCTGCCTTTTCGTCAAATGTGTTAGTTTTTAATTTGTCTCTTCCTTTTCGATGAGACTGTCCTTCATGCAACATTATGTTATGGTTCAAGTGTCCTGTACAGAGCTGTGGGTGAAGGCAGGGCCGGCTTATTCCAGGTAGATGTCCTCTGTTGGGCACGAGAACTCCACAAACTCTTTATAGTACAACTGGAAGGCTTTCCTGGAAAAGACAAACAATAATATATACTTTATATGTACTTTTCACAAACCGATCAGCCATCATTTTAAACGTTTGCCATTCAGGCCAGACTGAGGGGACGGTAGTTGACAGAACTCACCCTACTGACTCCGCCAGAGGTTTGGTGGAGTCTTCAGACACGAACACGTGGCACGCGAATCTCTGGTCTGCCGGGTGTTTGGTGATGAAACCGAAATACCTGGGGGGAGACGAGGGGACTCATCAGTCAACAGATGCTCATGTATGTCTGAACATGTGATGGTTTTGTAGCATCGCCTCGTGGGGGAAACAATGCAGCGTTTTTCTTCTTCTCGTTTTGTGGTCAGACGGCTCTGAGCGTGTGAGCCGGTGTCACAGTCGCTGCGTTGCTCTGCCTTTTGCTTACTTGCAGTTTTTGGGGTGATAGCCGCAGAAGGAGATGTTCTTTAGCTGGAAGAAGTGGCTGCACTCGTTGCTCTGTGAGGCGGGACACAGAAAACCAAACGACATGAATGTCCCGTAGAAGAAAAGAAGGAGGGTTTCTCTACCCTCAGCTGTCATAAAGCATCTGCGCCAATGTACAGTTGTTATGTATGATCTAAGTGAAGAGATAAAAAAAAAATGAAGAATGGACTAAAGTGCTGGTAACACAATGGCCCCTTCTGTTTAGTGGCGACACACAAGAAATATATTTTTGACGAATTAAAACACATTATGAAGCTACATTTTTTAAACTTATTAACAAAGGAACTTTTTTTTGGTGTTTTGAGCTCCAAGCTGCAGATAAAATAGTTCCTAAAAGTCCATGTAGAGCTTTATGTGAAACAAATTATTTACAGTTTCTATTAACCAAAAAAAGAACAAGTTGTCGGGCCATTTATCGCTTTAATAGTCATCAAATGATGATCTTTCCCTTGGAATGTCTTTAATAAAAGAGGCGTTCACATTTAATTTGAAGAGTTTGTAATTGGAAAAGGAGTTTATCATCTTTTGATCTACAGCGTTGCTTCGAATGATTAGAAGTTGAAAAGGTACTTCTTCCAGAAAAGCCCCCCCGCAGTCGCGGTCAGCAGCCACATGGGGGCGACACGCCTCGACTGTCCGATGGGGATTCTGCTGTGAGGCGACCGCCTCGTGGATATTTCTTTGTTGCAGGGTCGAAGTACATACTTTATCCCGCGCGTAGTAATCCTCGTGGACTGCGAGCTTGATGCCTTTCACGCTGATCTCCAGGATGCAGGAGGACGGCGGGTTGTACTTCACCGTCATCCGCCGGTTGGTGGCAATCTGGAGAGCAAATAGATGGAGAGATGACTGCAACGTAAAAAAGCTCCCAACTAAGAAACAGGATTATATCTGAACTGGGTAATGATATGAGTTGCAACAATACAATTTAAATGTTGCCCAAATACAAGGGCCTCCTTTAGATTTGACACATAACAATTATCATTTCTCATGTTTTCATGTTGTCCTTTTAGCAGTATTGTGTTATTAGTTATGACGTAACTCCTCTGGTTCCACCAATGAGATAATGACCGTTCTTCTGACTCGTTTTAACACACTAATGTGCACGACATGGATGGCGGACCTTCTGCATCGCTGCGCACAGAACGTCGTTGCCTTTGTGGGACGGCACTTGAACCGAGCCCAGGAACTTCAGCCGGTATCCGTCCATCCACTCGCTGCTCTTCACTGCAACGGAGAGAACATTTATCGCAGCGATAATACACAGTGACATGCGCGTTGGCACTCGGCGCCTTCGTGCGCGTGGCTGAATCAGCACCTTTGCTCGTCTCAGCGTCCTTGGTCACCTCCACAGCGTAATAAGCCGGGAAGATCCCCCGGGCACCGCTTCGCATGTTGTAGCCCTCGTACCAGTAATCCTCCGACTGGACCTCCACCAGCAGCGGATCGTCCACCTCCAGCTCCAACTCGTCGTCATGGCGAGGGACGAACCTGCAGCGACGGAAGAGGGGCTTTGTGAGCTGGAGGACCGGCCGTCTATCTGCCCGCTTGGACCCTCGGCTCATGTTAAAGGAAACGCCGATTCAAACAGGCTTTTAAAATTCCTCCCTCTGAATAACCTGCGTCTGAACAATGCAAGTGGACCGTGTATTTGCTTAGAACCCGCATCATGGGAGATGAGCATGAGTTAATTTGTTCAAACCATCCATCCATGTTTAATATAATTGTGTTATTACAGTCGGATAAGCTAAAAGCTCGATATGCATGCCGGTGTGCTGATGCGAGTGTGTTGCATCCGCTGCCCTGATTGCATACGTTTGATTCCCTGTCAGATCGTGTTGTGTGCTGAGCAAAAATATATAAACACGAGGATGACGGCAAACACCGTTGAAACAAATAGCTTGGATGCGGGATGATGATGATGATGATGATGATGGTGATGATGTGGCTGGTAGTGACGGCGATGCAGTTGTTCTTCACCTGTACACGGCTCTGTGGCTCTGGTCCCGCTCCTCTCCGTTAATGAGGCAGGAGCACAAGCCGAAGGACTCTGCACCTTGGAAACCAGAGACGAGAACAGCGACTTACACTTCTGCCATCCGCGAAAAAGACGAGTGAGCCTCACGTCGAATCGTAACAAAGGTCCATCCGACGAACGCGGGAAACGCAATTAGGACACAGTGTTTACTGTGAAGCTCCCTCGCTTCCTATAGGACCCATGGATCACACTTTAATCAGGCGTGAAACAGATGAGCTTTGTGTATTTCTACCTGCCTACATTCCCCTGAGACGTCTGCCCCCCCCAACACTGCTCGGATAAACTGCATTAGCGTTTCTAATGAGTTGCTGAAACATGTGGGCGGCATCCAAGAGCCCAGCGAGGCCATCAGGGGAAATGACCACGAATAATTGAATCTCCATCCCTCTCCTTCATATGAACGACACACACACACACACACACACACACAATGACCTGAGGTGAGGGTCAGCCTAATGCTCTACGGCCGCGAACACATTCTGTGCCTCTAGCTGCTACTAGCGTTAGCACAGTTAGCATAGTGCTAAATTGGGAGACGTCTTTTCACGATGCTGAGCACCGTCTTGTTCAAAAATACTTTGAGGAAACAAACGTCTTTAATCCCTTTGCTGTTCTAACGTCCGTGACAAGACTCGGCCCGACCTCATTAACCTCATTAACTTACTGGAGGAGCGAGAGCGTCCGTTCATGAAGACGTTGAGGAACTTCTTGGAGAAGCGCAGGTCGCCCTCCGGGGTGGAGTCCTCGGACAGACACGCCGTGGCCTCTCTCCTCACTCCTCCGATCTGAATGCCGTCCTCATCGTCCTCATCTTCCTCCCCTTCCCCCTCCTCCTCCTCCTCCTCCTCGTACTCCTCCCCGACGGCCGACTCGTAGGGGGAAGAGACGCAGTTGTCGTAGACGGTGGCCGAGTCGCTGTCGTCGCTGTAGCCTTGGTAACACTGCCGCAGGCTGACCAGCTCCAGCTGAGCGTGCTCGTCCACCACCAGCGTGTATTTGACCGAGTCGTACGAAAGGCCGCTGGCCTCCGAGGTCATGGAAGTTCTGAGTTGGTCCCTGCCGCCTCCCACTCCTCCGCCCTTCCTCGCCCTTCCGTCCATCATTATCCTGTCCACGTCTTCGTCCTCGCCGCAGTAGCTCTCGTCCGTGGCGTCCACGTACTCCACCGACGAGCCGGGTCTCAGCATGACTCCGGCCCCCGTTCCCGCGCCCTTGAGGCTGAGGTCGAGCGCGGGGGAGGAGCGGGCCGCGCCGGGCGGCGTGACGAGTGCCTCTACGCAGGAAGCGTAGGATGGAGGGGGGGCGTGGACCTCGTCCTCCTCGTAGATGGAGGGGTTCGTCCGGTCCGGGAGCGGCTGGTACGGGGGCGGGCCCTCCGTGTCGGAGCCGATGGACATGCGGCCCTGCTCCGTCTGCTGCGAGAGGAAGGGCCGGTCCTGCGCGTTGGGGGGGTCGAGAGCGTCGGCGGAGCGCTGCACGGGGGTCAGGTAGATCTCCTCCGTGGGCTCCAGGCGGACGTCCGTGTGGTAGCGGATCTTCTCCCGGTAGGGCCCGCCTCCATCCGCCTTCCCCGCCGGAGCCGGCGTGTGGTTCTGGGGCGGCGGGGGCGGCGCCGGCGGCTTCCCCTGCAGCTTGGAGCGAGTCGCGGACGAGTGGCCGGCGGCGTGGCCGTGCCTGCAGGGGGCGTCGGTGGACGTCCCGCGGTCTTTGGTCTGCGCTCCGCCGCCCTGCACCTGGTCCTCGTCGCTCAGGCAGCTGTGCTCGCGCGGCGCCGGGGGGGTGGTGGTGGTGCGCTCGCCTGCGGGGAGAGCGGACGCCAGCGACCCCGAAATAAAAATTAAAGCCCATGCACTCTTTCCGTCCCGGTGCCCATGCGGCGCACTCCCACTGGGACACTTGCGAGAGGAGATGATAAAATTTGTGAGACGTGTAATCCTGAAATGCCCCTTCGGGTCATGGAATGGAGGAGGTGGGAGAAGAAAAGAGCACAAAACGGTTAGGTAATCCAGATTACCCGTCACATCCCGACGACGGGCGCGCTACGTCATAATCCATCGGCAGCAAATCTAGGCCTGATGTTTTCCCTGTGGGGGTTATGCAGCGCTAAGGTGGGGGGGGGGGGTGGGGGGTATTTGATGAACATTCCTCACCTTGTTCTACATTGAACCACTTTGCGATTAAAATTCACTGGAATTCTCTGAAATGACTAAAACGACGTGAGGCCACCGGATATAATCGGCTCGTTTGCATATGAATTCAAAGTTCCTTAAGGAATCTGCTGTTTTAACACATTGTAAGAAGTAAATAGACTTTGCATCCCCTTAATTTGGCCAATGCCCAAATAAGCAGCTCTCTTTTTGTTTTTTCAGTTTTTTTCGATTCAAAATTTTCAAATACTCGTTGAGGCAAATGTATATTTGTATGTGTATATTTTCCTCCTTCAATTGTTGCATTCCCTTTTACTGTTATTACATAGAACCTTATTAGGTTGCATTTAGGAATGATAATATCTTATCAACAGATCAACAATCTGTTCCCTTTAAAGTACACATCTAAACATTTTATTATAAGTTTATTCAATAAGTAATTTCACAGGCAATATTTAAGGAAGAGTCACGTCGTATAAGACGGGGCCTTTTCTGCTGAATATATAGTGTAAACAGGACATAAACTAAATATTTATTTGGTCTATTAGGCCGCTATATATTATAGTAATGTATCTAAATACACTATATATCATATTAAGTTTAAGACAGACTGTATATATAAGTAATATATATGTGTGAGGGGTTGGCAGTGAGCTTGGTGAGTGTCGCCTCACGTGGGGCTCGCAAAGGAGCTGCAACAACGGTTAGCTTAGCACAGCTTAGCACAGTCCTACAGTGGCTGCTGCTGTGTTGGTAGCACAAGGAGCAACAACATCAGGGCAACATCAACATCACGCGGCTGCTCACCTGTTTTAAGAGGCGAGCAGGAGCCCGACACCTTCTCCTGCCAGCTGTATTTCTTCCCGAAGGAGTTGTTGTTTAGTGTGTCCTGTGGAAACGCAGCGACGGGGGGAGAGGAGGAGGAGGAAGTGGTGAGAGGGACGAAATCCGATGGGGGAATACGGAGAGAAACATAGTAGATAGAGAGGTGTTTGGTCACCGAGTTCTGATCCCCCCTCTCTCTCCCTCACACACACACACACACACACACACACACACACACACACACACACACAGCTTTTATTCTGTTGAATAAGCAGTCGTTCTTTTGTCTGTGCTCCGTGGTGTGCATATAAAGGGATCCAAACCTTTTACCAAAGCTAGAATACACACACACACACACACTCTCTCACACACTCTCACACACGGGGCCTTTTTGCAGGATTTGATGATAAATGGACCTATTAAAAAAAACATCCCGATCACAAAAACAGCTTATTCTTATTTCTATAAACACGGTTTTCAAATAATTGATCAATTAATCAGAAACACTGAAGTTGAGCGAGCTTTATTGGTTTTACTCCTCGTCATGCTGCAGTGATCAGTGACGTCACCACCCAACCACTTCTTGGTTATGCTTTTTAGTCAATTAGTGAGGACAGGTTGCATTTAACGAGGGTGCCACCATTCTCCAAATTGATTATTCCATTTAACTTTCAAGTTTCGAAAGTTACTCACTGTTGAAAATGAAACCTCTGTCTTGATTTTGTTGGCTTATGGAATCATGATTCTAAAAGATCAATAGTCGTTTGCAGCCATTTCAACTTCCAAATCCTTTTTAAAACAGAAGGATTTGAATGAAGTGAAAAGTTAGTAGGGGATCAAACCACAAGAAGGCCATATGGTCACTATAAATAAACTATTTAATACGTAAACATTAACCTTGTTTCAACTGTTACATTTGCTCCACTAGATGGCATATAGTTCAACAAAAGCTACAGCTTACAAGGGACCCTGAATGCACCATGAAATCCCCTTTAGTTGAGCTCACATGCTTTACTGTACAAAATCATGCAATCGCGTTCAGTCATTATAATAAAGTTACTAGCATTCCACAGTCAACCATGTCCTTAAAATGCACATATATAGTACTTAAAATTAAAATTTACCAGATGATACCAGATGATTCTGGTCCCAAAAGTCCAACAACACAAGGTTAAAAGAGGCGGTGTCACAGAAGCGTTACAGTAATGGACCAGAGAGAGACAAGCTGAGTGCTGAGTGAAATACCAAAAACAATACTCATTTAAAACCGATGTACCTCCGGTGCAGGAATACACGCAGAAACTTCACAGACGCGTCCACGGTTAAAGAAAAATCTCAAAACCGTCTAAAATCCTTAAGTGATTAAAGTCAATTCTTTGTTTATCAACAGCAATATTTCCTGTTTATGCATTTAATTCAATCCCTTTTTCTGTTCATGAATCTTATGCCGTGAATAAATGTGAGGAAAAAAAACAACCTTTTTATGAAGGTGACGCTCAAAGAAAGAGTTCTCATCTATGACAATGTGAAATGGGTGGTTGGATCGACCCGGCCTGACCCGATCTGACCTTTCCTGAGCCCTGCGGTGAGCATAGAGATGGAAGAGGGAGATTAGAACTCCTGTGACGACCCAAAAAACAGCTCGTGTCCTCCTCCTCCTCCGTCCACCCGCCCCCTGCGCATGACTCACTGACACGTCTACGCGGTCGCCGACAGCGCTGTCGCCGCGGCAACGAGGGAACGACGCAAGGGGGAGACGGGCGCGGTGCTCCTCAAGAGTTAGATCACCCTCAGCGATGGAGAGAGCGGCGAATCGGACGAGGACGCGGCGCTGATGACAAATCAGGCTAACAACAACGTGACTGTCCCGCGCCTCGTCTTCTCCGAGACAACTCCAATCCGAGAAAAGGATCTTGCCAGGTGTGAGATTAAAGTGGGACTTGGATTAAGACGGAGGGCTTCCTCCTGTTTATCTGCCCAAATCATTTCCCTTCAGCTTAAGAGGAGACGATCTGTTAAATAAAACCTGCCCCTGTTTCTGCTTACAGCTGATTACACTCACAGGCCCCTTGTCGTTTCATAACCGTTGCTTTAATATTACGGCCACGATTGTTTATATAGACTTTAAAAAGGTGCTTGTATTTGTGCTGGCTTTGGTGCTTCGTGGAGGTTCCTCGCCATATATTTCCAGGGCAGAAAACACTGGCACTCATTAATTGGAAGAGCAAAACATTGCTCTTCAAAAAGCTTCACAGCTGTAACTTGGTCGGTGCATTTTCTCAAGCACAGGACTCTCTGTCGCTCGCTGCCAAATGATGCACGGCTAATTGTATATTTTAGCATTTTTTACCGACTCACTGACCTGGAAACAGTCGCCCGCGTGCCGCCTCTCCCCCTCGCTCTCGTCTCACAGCAGAAACGGCCTGCGGATCGCCGCTACTCGTCTCGCTCATCTCGTTTGAGTTGTGTCACCGATGTGTCCACACCACAGGGAACGTTTTCCAGAAATCTACATGCAGCTGTATTGATACGGTAGGGCGGCGTTGTGTCGACTGTTGACGGAGCAGCTCTAACGTTGTGATATCTGAAAGATCCCGACTCACAGATGCAACGTTATTCCATTCATCCATCTAACAGCAAAAATATGTTATTTTCTTATAGATAATCAAAGGTAGAATGTAGCGGATCATATTCTTTATTTTTCATCTAGAACGATTCTTGATTTCACAGCAGCTTTTCTGATGACCAGCTGCTTTTGATCACTTGAGTCTGTGAGTGGCAAATTAAAGCTAATGATTTATAGATGACAGAGAGCAAATATCTTCACGTCAAACGGACGAACGTATTGCACTGATACACAATCGTTGAACAGGGATAAATAAGCTATGCAGCAAATCAATGAAGAATCTCGGCTCCATGTTTCCATATTATGTTTTTTGGAGTTTCGTGTTCATACGGGTGACCAACTGGCTCGCCCAATGCGCCCGCACGCCATTTACAGCCGATGACGGTCTCCTGTCGTTAAAGCCCCACCCCCCCCCAAACACCGTCAGCTCCGTCAGCGCGGATCATTTCCCAGCTGGCAGCTTCGGCCGTCGCCACGTTGGGGACAATTTTTTTTTTTTTGCTGAATCTCCAAAGATCACTCGGGGTCCGCTGCTGATGGCTGTAACGAAGTGACGGAGCTGCGCGGTCCATCGGGTTGACGGCCTTCACTGCGGGGGGAACTTTGACTCACAATATTACTTCAAACGTAAGGTTACATCCTGTCAAAGGGTCATTTCCTCACCGTACATCTAGCAGGGGTGCAGTTGATAACCGCCAATGGTGACGAGTTAGCCGTTAAGCGAGCTAACGCTAGCCCTGCGTTAGCAGATTACTGTGGCTAGCAAGGCACCAGTGAGCATCAAACTGCGCGTCTTTCTGATTTAACGACATCTGACAATGTCAGAAAGATTAATGTTGGCGCTCGCTGTCTGAGGAGGAGAACAGTGGGAGGGGAACATCACCGAGGTCTCCGTCTTGGGCGGCGTGGACGCGCCAACGTGTCAACACTGACCATGATCCTCCCTTGTTTTATCTTGTCACATTAAATATTGCAACCATGGAAACAAAACTCCCCCGAGCTCGTCCCCTTTGCTACTTTAACCGACGCCGCAATCTAAACGAGTTGCTTTTGTGCGTCACCCAAACACGACCCTAAAATCATAGACGCCACGTTCAAACGGCGACTGTGTAACGTCACAGACGAATGACGTCATCGGGCAGAAAATCCCTTCAGAAAACACTTGCAAAGGATATATTTTATTGTTTGACTTGCAGCAGTCGGTGTTCAATTCACACACACACATACACACACAGGACATACATGAAGCCAACATGTATGTGACGGGAATGTACTTAATTACACATATATATGTATATATGTGTACACATATATATATTATATATGTTATACACATATATATATATATATATATATATTATTTTATATATTTGTACCACTGTACTGTCTTTTCTAGCAATGACCTGTTTTAAGTTGATTGCAGCTGTGTTAAAACTAAACTGGTTCTAATCAAATGTAATTTAAAAAGACTAAATGTCTTACCCCTCTGGGGTACTGGAGATAGTCACAGATTGTCGCACACACACACGCACACACACAGTCACGAGCTCCAGTGCGCACACAGAGACGGGCACCAAAGGGAAACAACAATCTCTGTCTGGACAACTGAGGCGATTGTTCAGAGAACACTTCCTCTCAGAGACACAACTGTAGTGAAGCCAATGATGAGGTCAGGCAGGTCGCCGATTTACATCGCGTGAAGAGGAACCCGCACACACACACACACACACACACACACAGAAAGCATCTTCCTCATGTCCACTCCTTTTTGATCACATACTGTGTGTGTGTGTGTGGATAAGGTCAGCCGGGCTCTACCTGTGTGCGAGGCACGATGGAGATGAGGTTAAGGGTCGTGGGTCTCTTGGGCCGGTAGGTATCCATGGTAACAGGCGCCGCGGGGTCCTTGGTGAGGGGCAGGGGCGCGATGGCCGACGCCTTCGACGACTCTTTGTCGCCGCGGTAACCGTCGGCACCGTCGATCAGTTCCAAATGCAGCATCTCCGCCTGGAGCTGGCCGACGGCGCCGAGCTCCGCCCTCCCCGACAGGCTATTGGTTCCTCGCCTGATGCGGCCCTGCAGGGGTTGGAGGAGACGAGCTGTCAGTCGAGCAGCGTCAGAGAGCGAGAGAAAGAGAGAGAGAGAGAGAGAGTGTGTATGGACGGGATGAGGAGACTGAGCCGGCCAATTAGAGGCGGCTCAGTCTGCTACGTTTAACACCCTCGCTGCCAAACGCGGAGCTTCTTAAAGCGGAGAGCAGATTCAGCTTCTTCCCGTTAAAGGTCCCTCGTCCTGTGGCTGAAAAGATGCTGGAGGCGCCGCTCGGTTCGGTTCGGTTTCTTTAGACACGCAAAACAACAACAACTTCTCGTCAATCCGAGCGGTTCAGCTCGTGGTGACATTCTCAGACTCGCTGCTGAAGTCAAAGCACGTGACCAACAGCGGGGGGTCATCTGGGAGACGGAGTAGGTCAGAGGTCACTGGGGCAGCACGGTCCGCTTCGCTCACCATCACTGTCTCTGCAGCTACAGCACACACACACACACACACATTGAGCACACGGTAATTCCTCCTGTTAGTTGACGTGATGCAGATTAATGGACGTGGAGTCGCTGTTAATCCCATTGCGGCCGATAGCTTCCTCTTTGCTCCACATGGCGGACACACAAACATGCGGATACCCGCATGTCTACGCTCACAACACGGAGGCTATTAAATGTAGCACGAGGTACGACGCAAGAAGAATAGCAAAATGAATACAATCTGACACATTAGCAGACTCGTTTGTGGCACTTGGACTTTGAAAAAAGCTTCTAAACCTGCAATATTTTCTGTCACTTGGCAGCTTATCGCTGCTGGGAGTCTTTTCATCCTGATATTACTACAAGCTTTATCATGTTACCACAACCCAGTACTTACTCAATGGACTACTGGGCTGTCATTATCTCTTTATCAACATATATTGTTATGTATTAAACTAAGTGTTCAGAATCACGTAGTGAATAATTTGTATTAATATAAAAAAGTATTCATTTTTGAAAATCGACTGTGGTCACATTAATTTATTTGTTGATACACTCATTTGTTGTCGTGATTAAAGGCAGCGTTGTAAACGTAGCAGGGCGGTTAGTAAGGAGAGTTTAAGTGTGGCCTTCGAGCACATTTGTATGCAGCGGAACTCCGACCAAAGACATTCACAGGAAAGAAAGAGGCTTTTGAATTGCGACTAAAACGGGAAATGTTTGTGGAGCTGCATTCTAATTCAGAGCTCGAGTCCTTGACGTTTTCCAGACACACTTTTAGCCTCTAAAACAATACCTCCGTTTCGAAACGTTTCTCCAAATGTAGCCCAAAGGGAGAAAGACAGCATGTCATCTGTCACATGTAATATTCACTACTGAAAACCCTCCTGCGAGCTGTTAAATATAGCAGATAAAACATCTCTGTCAGGGGCCACAAATACATCTATAGAGCTTAAAGCTACGGCTAGTTTGTTGCCACTTCCAGACACCGAAGCAACAGCGGAATGGACGTTTCGTCGGATCGTACCGACTGAGCGAAACGATCTCAGTGACCTCATGACGAGAGCTGCTTAAAACATCAAAATGTGAATAGAAGCTGCTTCAATGCTTCTATTCAATCTCCTTTGGCACAGGGTGGACTGCATCATCGTTTACAAAAGGAATGCGGACAATAACGTCCCATAATTCATTGCAACAGCAACATTTTAAGGGACTCAACATTTGGCCATTGATTAAAATCCATCTTTACTGATTCATCTGCATTATAGACGATGGCTTATATCATTTTCTATTTATTTTAAATAAAGTTGGCTAAAATACACAAGCCACTGCATTGTGTAAGTGTCATATTTCTCTCGCCCATCCTTCTATCGATCCTGTGCATCCATCTACTCGTCCTTCTACGGTCTGTCCGCCCAGCTTGACCATCCATCTGTTCATCTCTATTCTGCCCATCCTCTTCACCCTGCCGTTCACCGTCATGTGAACCCGTCCATCAACATCCATCCTGTGTGTCTATACATCAATCACTCACAGTGATCATCAGTCTATGCATCCATCAATCAGTCCAATTGTCAATCCACCTGTTATCCATCCATCCATCAACCAGTTTGGTTATTTGGTTATTTTGAGCTGCATTATCAGCATAATCACGTTACACCAGTCAGTGTGTATCCGTGTCCGTAGTAACGGCACAGTCGCTCTCCTGCCATCATCGGCTTTTCCTTTTGTCTCTCCCCTCTGTCGGCCTGTTGACCTTTTCACCTGCCGACGATCAATGGCTGACAATGCTGTGGGGCCTCTGCTGTATTGACCAACGCCCGGCCCCTTTAAGACAGCGCAGGCCCCTGTTGCTAAGAGACAGGGGGCTCAGTGACGAGGAGGAGGCTGAGACGATGCTGCTTTCTCACAGTTACTGATGCTCGGCTCTGGTCCAATCAGAACAGGCCGGGCAGGGCGATAACGCAGCAAGTCAAACGTAATGACACAAGACAGCTGAAAAGGCAAAGTCACACTAAACCTGCTGCTGAGCCATTGGAATCATTATGAAAACGTCAAAAAAGACAATATATGAAACCAAGAGTATCAACTATATGTATTGTTAACACCTTCATCCGTCGTGGAAAAATCTCACTATTGATTCTAATCCGCCGTAAAGACATATTTGGATTTATTAATCCCAAATATTGAGAAAATATTAATAAAGAATTGAGAATCGTACCTCTTGGTTAATTTGCCTGTATTAACTAACAACGGCACCGGAATACCACATTTAAACGGCACTAATCATAGAGGATAAAATGAGTTTGTGTAATGAGCTGCTAATAGGGACAAAAGAACCACATAGGGAGTAATAAGCCTCGGCTCATTGTTTTGATTTCCAAGCCAAAAAAACAGCAACTTCATCAACCTTCATGGCATGAGCAGGAAGTATTAAAACATCTTTGATAAACGTATTAAATGGTGGCCCAACAACTGTTGAAGAACATTAAGCTGCTAAAGTATTATATCTTTCTTGGTATTTGGAGGAGACCAAAGCAGAGCTAAAGGGAATTCATCAGGCAGAAAAAAGGGAAGTGGAAAAAACAATGTGTCACGGTTTGCAACAGGAGGAGGACTCAGGTGAAAACCAAGGTTTCAACCAAAAACATTTAAAAATCCTGCAAAAAAAAATTTAGAATCTGCCTGCAAGCAGAGTGGGAAACGTAACGGCACGAACCAGTGACGAGACACGGGAAAGACATGCAGGTGATTGGACAGAGGACAATTAGAGACAAGGGAGACCATCACAGGCTAACCCAGGGACACGAGAAGCAGGAAAAGACTAAATAAAACACCCGAACAGCGTAACACGTGTTTTAGATTGACAATTCTACACGTCAAAATGTTTTTAACTTGTTCCACTTGTACTGAACGGGTTAGAAAAAAACATATATACTTGAAAATGCATCAATTTGATCTTTTTTATATATAAAGATATTATGATTGGTTGTCGTGTCTGGCGAACGCTAACAAGCTTGGTGGTCATGCTTGGTTTGTGATTGGCTGAGGCAGGTTGGTGGGTGGGACCAGGCTCCGTTCCCCCGGTAACCACTTCCCACTTCTTCGGATAACGTCGCAAAAGGGCGAGATGGCGGCTTCCGCACCCAGAAGATTCTGTCCTCATTCTTGTGGAGACGCATCGCGGCCCGCGATCACCCCAATAAACAGGGAGGTAGTTTCCATGGAAACGCATAAATATCAACAACCGACAACAAAAGGGTCGCTCTTCTTCTTCTTCTCTGCTGTTGCTGTGTGGGGATGAGATGACGCGAGCAGTTTCGGGGCGGTGTGTGTGTGTGTGTGTGCGTGCGTGCCAACACTATATTTCATGTATTTTCAGCTCTGACACATGGGGTAGGTGAGAGAAACCCAGTTGCCATGGAAATAGGTCTCCTTCTCCCCCCCGCCTCCGCCTCATCCCTCATCACTCTTGTTGTGCTGTAGAAATCTCCCTCCCCGTTCCTGTCGGGGTTAATGAGATCTGTTTTACTGATGAGCATTGATGTAGTTCTACACTGTTAATAGAGCCAAACATCTCGATTGACAAAACAATATTCCACATGGATAATGAAAATTATATATATCTATATGGTTATTCATATTACACAAACAATACTCCTGAACTCTGAATAAAAAGCTGAATCATACATGTCTACACCCTTTACATCATCACAAAAGAAAGAGTAAGTATATTTTATCTGATACGTCTTCATAAACTGGGCAACACATTAAAGGAGGTTTATCGGGAGCATCTCTATCGCCTCTCAATGGCTGAGCAGGTGCTAACGCTAAAGTCGATGGAAAAAGTGCTAACAAAGCCAACTGTGTTTAATTAACTTGGGGGGGCGGGGGGGGGGGGGAGGGGGAGGGGCTTTGCTTCCAAAAGACGTCACATGACGTCACTGATCTGTGTTCCGTGTTGCACCTCTAATCAAGACAAACCAGGAGAAGAAGTATGCGATGCCATCTCATTTTTACCATTTCGGTCAATGTGAAGACAACAAGTGTTTTAAATGTTGCAAAGAGGACACGATGACAAGCGTATCCGTGTGTGTGTGTGTGTGTGTGTGTGTGTGTGTGTGTGTGTGTATAGAGACGCGTGTGTTCCTGCAGTCGGCTAATGATGTTACCCATTCCGTCCGCCCCCTGCCAGACACATGACTTTTACACCATTTGCACGTGACAAGTGACCCCCTAGCCCCCCAGCACTCACTCACTCACTCACACACACACACACACACACACACACACACAGAGGTGGAGTGGTTGAGATAATGCACGTTGTCATTACGTGTCTCTTAGGGATACTAAATCTATTCATGCTTCGTTCTGGCTGGAGCTGCTCCGCGTCAGCCAACGACCACGCGCACAATAATCCCTCGTTCCATCTTTTCCTCCCAGCGTGGAGCTTCTGTGTGAAACCAATCAGCCTGTTGAACCAGGAACTGAACTGTGGAACCCAGAGTCCATTTGGCATGTTCACGTTAAGGTTTTCACCATAGCTGAAGAGCAGCGAACATCATTTAAGTCAGACTGATGAGAGAACGCATTCAATATGGCAAGTGAAGTTGATCCCAGGCATTCTGTCCCGCTCTAAGGATCAATTCAATTATGACGCTACTAGAAATCCGCCCTGCACACAAGCTGTTGCATGGTAGAGGTTTGTGTTTTTTCCTGCTTCCTGATTTCTCGCCATTGTTTTGTCATATTTTTTCGCGATGGGAAAGACGCCACAGGTTGGTGTCACAGAATTGAGTGTAGCAGATTCTATAAAATGTCTGCATTTATTTGGACACGACCCTCTGACGCACACACGCACACGCACACACACTCTGAGGCAGACGCCTGTCTGGGCTGAGTGAAGCTTCTTCCATGTGACTGTCCATTATTGATGAGACAAGATGTATCCTGAAGCTCCCCAGGGGTGAGGAGCTCACTGATGAGGTCACCAGTCAGGTCCCCCCCCTCCCCCACATCCTCCAGGTCACCCGACGTCCTGCTGAACCTCCTCATCATATATTAATGAGAAGTCTCTGACAAACACTTTTAAATGGGACGAAAAAATGAAGCGGCCTCTCATCATATCCTGTCTTATCTTTTAATGTGGAGGGAAGTTACGAAACAAAAAGCCTGGTGTAATTACGAGGGACGAGATCGGCCGTGTCCTGCTTGAAAGTCCTGTGTCTGTTACACCTTAAATCACCGCCCCAAACTGATTAAGTCGACACAGCGGATTCACCCGTTCAAAGGGAAGCGTCTTCTCCCTGCATTCATCATATAAATATAACCATACATTCATATATACATACACTCTGAGAGTGACAGGCGGATGTGTGCGGCCGACCAGCAGAGCCTGCTCTTGTCACAAAAAAAAACCCTTTCTGTGCACTTTGTTTTTCGTGAGCCGAGAGTGACGTCGATGACACGTGCTGTTTGTTGTTGCATGCTGCCGTCAGGCCGATTTTTGGGATTCTGATTACTGTGAGGGCGCCGGCAAGGTGATGCGTCATCAGTCCGAACACACACACACACACACCTCCAGCAAAGAGCCCTAACGTTCAACAATCTGGGCTCAAATTAGCTCCCAGCATAAGGGCAGCACAAACAGGCAGTGGCAGAGATGCATAAACGTCTTTTCATACTAAAAAACGTTCCCAGCGCCGCAGAAGAGCAAACCTCTCACGTGCTCGTGTGATCCACACTGAGAGGAGAGCTTGGGCCCCGGTGTTTCCTTGGTTACGGCAGCAGTCGCTGGAGGAGGAGGAGGAGGAGGGCTTCACTGGGAACAGAGTCGGGGAGATCTGACAGAATAATACATTTACCTCTGCCCACTTTCTCCCTCCGCAGCGCTCCGCATCACTCCCGCTCACTCCTCTTCATCATGACCCACTCGTTTCTACGCCGATGTGTTCCCCCCCCCCCCCGGGGTGCTGGTGAGACCTCGAAAAAAACGTTCTGGCCCAAACAATTCTCCAATCTGCAATTCGATTTTCAGAGGACTTGAACGAGCGCGGGTTGGATTGTTACGGGGGAAGCGGGGGTGAAGAGGGGGGGTGGTGATTGCGTGTGATCGGACTCGGTGGTTTTCACTGCTCGGCTCGGCCGCCATCTTTCAGGCCCCTCTGCCTCCGGGCTCCTCGGCTCTGCTGGCAGGAAGCTGAACGCAGCAGCTGTTCACGACAAAATGCCTCCCTTGATGAAATGAGCGGCGAAAACTATACGTAAGCCTCATTATTTTCTGCTATGTATTTTCCCAAAGATGTAAGAATTTATTGTTGTACTTTAACTGGTAATAAATGGATGGAATGGGATTTTAAAAAAGGACAAATTTGCAACTCCTTCGATAAATGTACAAAGCGAATATTTCAAATATGCAAAAACTATGTCCGATATACACCAGGTCACGAGTTACATGCAATTGGAAAGACTTTCTCCAAAGAATCAACATCGTAGTTTGAGATAAACCAACCACCTCGTTACCTTCATGTCCGGACCGTTACAGTTGAGACTCAATCCGCACTCATCTGTGATCTCCGTGATCTCCGACAGGTCGTCATCTTCGAACTCATCCAGGCTGATGTCATGGGTCAACCTTGTAGAGGTGGGGTCGGGGGGATTAGGGTGGAGAGAGGTAGAAGGGAAGGAGACGAGGAAAGAAAATCAATGTTAATCCCTCAGCACTCATCAGAAGCCACGGCGGTACGTCTCAAAATCTACTTTGGGCCGGATTATCTGTCTTACAGGGTGGCAACTCGAACGTCTACTCTCATTATGGAAATATCATCTCCCAACTTCTGTCCATTTAAAAATTCTCCCTTCAAAGCGCAGGGTGGCAATAAATGAGAAAACATAAATGTTAATGAGAAACAGTAACGTGTGAGTGAAAATGTTTTGGTACCATAAATAACAATTGGGAATTAAGATGCAAACTGTTCCAACGATCAACCACTAAACGAGGTGGTCAGAAGCCTCGGTGGCGTCGTAATTGAGGTCAGAAGACGCCGTTCATATTTTGCAGGTGGGATCACAGTTCGCTGGACATCACTTGGGGCGTCGGGCAGGAAAGCGTCCCGTCCTTTGGCTTCTGGCACAATTCAATTATCTTCCAGTAAACAATGCTCCACCTTTCCCCCCCCATCTGTAATCATGTCCGCCTGTTATCTCTTTGCCCTGCGGCCCGCTGGGCGCGACCGGCCGACTCAAATGCTATTAGAGGGAGGGAAGCGAAGACGGCAGACGTCACAAGGAGCACGGAGGGAAGCTGTTGAGAGAAACCCGGTGAACTTGGAGAGCTACGATTCCCGATTTTGTAGCATGGTGCTAATGCCGTTTCTGGCTTCGTCAACACCGTGCAGCGGTCTCCTCTGACGAAATGACGCACAGCTGCAGCCGTGGCGTGTTGGAGATGCGGGTTAAACAGCCTGGGATAAGCGTCTGTTTACCGCTATAATGAGGCCCTGGAGGAGGCGGGAGGGAGAGGGCGGAAGGATAACAAGGGAGAAAGAGAAAGAAAGTGCGGGTGAGGGATAAAGGATCTCAGATGGGAATACGAAAAGGAAAGGAAACGAGGAATAAAGAGACTTGATTTGAATCAAAGTCAGCATTTGGATGCTGTGTTATTTTTATCTATTCATTCAGTGAAAGATCAGGCTGCAATTTAGGTCCCAAAGTCAAAAGTTAGATGTAATCATCTCAAATCCACGGCAGGGTTCTATGTCGCGACATATTCTTCTAATACAGAAGTTGAGCCGGAACCGAATCAACGCGGCTTCCTGATGTTAGAAAATACGAATTCTAGTCAATTATGGTTCTTGAGATGATCACAAATACCTCACGGGTGTCATCCAAGTAAAAGTGTTCAGCTAATGAGCTGATCTATTTCCGTCCTCCCCCCACCAGACGTAATCAGAGTCACGACACGTGGCTCAACGCGCCATCTGAACGTCTTCTCCTCCCAATGAATCGCGTCGACAAGGAGTTGGTCTGCTCTTCTTTTCAAATAACGTAAACTCATCAATTCACTAAAAAAAAAAAAGTATTGCAGCACTGACAGACGCTTGGGAGGGCAACAAAATCAATACACGCCTCCCATCAGCATCACTTATAGAAAGGAGGAGAAGGGCAAAGGAGACTGAAGGAGAGAAGGAAGAGAAAAGGGAGGACGGATAGGGAAAAACTAAGAGGCTAAGTTGCGGGTATTGGTCAATAATAAGGACTTTTCAAGGACAAAAAGGGGGAGGAGTGTCAAGGGTGGCGGCGGAGAAGCAAAAAGGGTCACTTTTCGGGTGTGGATCAAACAAGGAGCAAAGTGCAGACAGTAAAAAGGATGCAGGGATTCGCGGGGACAAAAGCGAGGAAGGAGGGACGGACGATAAAATGAAGTGCAGGGAGATAAACCACCTGGACAGGACAGGGTGACCCCTCTGCTGCAGTGAATTGTGGGTAAGGGAGGGCTTCACACACCAGAGGGAACCAACAGAGTGTGAGACTCCATTTGCACACATCGAAGCTCGGACGGAAATATCACGGCGTCTAAACCTCATGGTGCAAATGTTGGGGGTAATTTAGCCTTTTGTCTGATGATGATTAAATCAATTAATTGATACGTTGCAAAAACGTACCAATCGTCAGTGTTATTACGAACACCTGTGCTTAAAATACCTGCTGTGACAGTAGGACCTTTTGCCCAAAATGTGAAGATGCTCTAAATTACTTACAACACGCCAGGTCAGGCTTACTTGCAGCATTTAGGCATTTATTCTTCATTACTGGCAGTAGACGGTAAAGACACGTTTGCATCGACTCATTGCGCCTCATTTTACCTGAATCAACACAAAACGGCTCCACAAATAGAAAATCCAATACTCAAGATATCCTAGTTGGCCTCCGCCGGGAGTGTGCTCCTGTACAACGTACGCCCAGCATTCACAAGCCCAAAGAACACCCCCGTCGGGGATCGATGGCGGCGGACTCAGCGGTCCGGCTGCCCGGGTGAGAAGATCCCGTGACACGCGGCAAAATCATTTGAGCCGTAGTAACGACAGGCTGTAAAGCGATATCCTCCCTGTGACACCGTTACCTCACGCGACCCCCCAAAAGGGCATCCGGGCTCCTCGCGCGCTACCTCGTTAGCATATCAGCTTCCCCACGTGGCCTCCGAAGAGCGGAGCCCAGATGACGCTCTAGGTGTTATGGCTCGTTGCAGATATACAGAATTATTAAATTTGTTTTTTACCAATGAAAATGAAGTTGCTCTGCCACTAAACTAGTTGCTAACTTGCTGCTAGCTCAGAGACGTTATGACGTTTTGGAGTAGAGGTGTGAGCTCAGGACGGCAGAGGCCGACTGTCGCGTTACTTTAACATTGGGTAAAGTTGTTTCAGTTCTCTAAATGGGACATTCAGAGGACATGGACACGGTTTGCTACGTATATTCATTCATGAAGTCGTGTCTACCTGAGCAAAGGATGAAGCGGCTCTCCCCGTGTGTTGTAATCTGAGTTTATCTTTGCTTTGTTTGAATAACAATGACAGTTGATCCGACCCAAACACCGTTAGCTCCGTTAGCACTGTTTGCGCTAATGGCACTGCTAGCGGGATGCAATGTGTGTAAACGTCCTCCGTTACGTTTCAACGGAACTTGAGATGTGGTTCTCCAAGAGACGCCGGAGAACACCCCGGACGTTCTTTTCCACGAGATGTCCGAGTCATTTCGTCATCGTCACAGTTCACCTCTCCGGGAAAGATTTGAAGGTTTCATTCTGTGACATTTTGTGATTTTCCTTCACTCGGCACGTATGGTTTTTCTCCAACAACCCAAATGTCCCTTCAGAAACGTCACGGACACTTTGTCCAGAGTTTATGTTGTGAGATGACGTCAGAGGGCAACAGCACCGCAGGACTGATGTTCCAGTTTGATTTTTGCATGCAGTCTTTGCTGTTCTGACAGCTGGGGGTCAAAAGGGCATCCCATCGGCTTTTTGGAGCCTCCTCGGCCTGCCTCTCTGCTTGTGTCCACGAAGGACAGCGCGACCTCTTGCTCAGCCCGCGATGGACCGGCTCATCAGCAACGCATTTAACTGATGCTCGCTAGCTCGATTGTTTTATTTAAAACTAGAGATTTTCTTTTAAAAAGGGAGGGTTCCAAAAAATATTGACTTTGGGGGCCCAAAGAAAGACGCGGTTCATGCAGCCTACTGTGGGAAAAGGTCACGCTGTGATGAAAAATGCTTCCGACGTCCAAAACTAAATGAGAAGTAACATCCATAAAGGGTGGTGTCGATGTTTGACACTTTAGCATTAGCGTTTAGCATTTAATATCTGTGCTGTGCTGCTATAATCGAATCACCTGACACAACGTACACAGCAACATTTGCATTAAGTCATCACAGCATACACATGTAAATCACGAGGCGCGGGGCCGAGTGGGTCCTGTAAAAAGACCCCCCCCCCCCCCCCCCACTCCTCCCTCGCCCCCCCACTCCTCCCTCCTCTGCCTTCAGCATCCGCCATATGAAAACAAACTCCAAAGACCCACATTCCTCTGTGCATCTCCTGGATGCATCCCTGTGACATCCCCCCCCCACACACATAAAGTGTCATGTCTCTTCTCCGTTCCTATTTTTGATCAACAATATGCCGCACACAGACACACACACACACACGGCCATATGCATCCGGTCTCCTTCAAGGGCACGCCTGCCCCGAGCTTTAAAAAGGGCGAGTAGACGACATATAGCGAGGAAGAAAAGAGCACGTTAGCAGCCGCGCGCTCACAAGGTCACACACAGCCATGTTGCTGCATTTTAAAACCACCACGCGGGGGGGAGAGAATGAGAGAGACGCCCTACCATTTCTCCCACTGGTCCTCCATCCAGCCCTCTTCTCCTTCCCCTCCCGAGTCCATACTGGAAGTGAGCGAGGGCATCCACAGCTGAGAGGAGGAGGAGGAGGAGGAGGAGGAGGATCAGGGTTAGAAAGTGAAGGAAGGAGGATGGGACGAAAGAGATGGGAGGAGCGAGCAGGAAGAGAGCCGGGAAGGAGAGGGAGGAGGGGTGAGCATCTCCCCGCGGGGTCGATGGGAGAGGCGTCCAACTCAGAGCCGCCGCCGCCGCTCGTCCGGAAGGAGAGAGGGTGATGGAGGAGGGTTGACTGTTTAAAGCGGAGGAGCGGAATCTGCCAGCAAAAAGTAGTGTTTCATAATCTCTGTCTCTGCTGTTCACTCTGTGTGTGCGTTGCAATTACTACGCCACTGCAGGAAAGTGCTGGTGTTAGCAGCATATCCGACGCCACCGCAGAAACATTAGCTCAACAGGACCTCTCTCTCTCCCCCTCTCTCCCCCCCTCTCTCTCTCTCTGCAAAACACAGTCGTTCTGAATTATTCATGAGGCCCCATTGATCACAAGACTTCATTTCCCTTTCTCTCCCTCTCTCTAATCATCCTTTTAAAAGGAGAAGTTCTTTTTTTCTTTTTTTTTTAATGTAGCTTTGGTGTATCAGTTATTGCAAACCCCCCCAAAATTATTGCTGAGGTCCGGCAACACAGGACCGTTTGCATAAAACATAAAACAAGACCAGAGAGACATGTAACCCTCTGGGATTGTGTGGCCGACACGATGTCTCCAGTCTCCCGGCTGTAGCGTGACAATAAGTATGCGTCGGTTCTGATGATGCCACCTGCAACTGGACTGCGGTGTAAGAACCATTGTTCTTGGCAGTTCACCGTAGCTGTTGACGCTGACGGGATCAGCCGTCAGTCAAGCTGTGGTGACGCGTTTCTGCCCCCTAGTGGCCAGAAAATCGATGAGCGCACCGGGGGGACGCAACAGCGACGGCGTTTTGGTCTCGCCACACGTTCAACGACTCAAAAAACAAACAAACAAACAACGGGATTCCCACATTCCAAAAGGTCAAAACTCACAAGGTCCTTGTTTTTTCTGCACTCGGGCCGTGTGGCCGTACGGCGCCGGCCTCGGCAACGGGCCACGGCCTATGGCGCTCCAACACTGGCCCCGGCACATATGGAGCTGTGAAACGCACACAACGTGTTTCCTGAGAACAAGGAGTAGCTTACAGCCATGTAAGAGAGAGAGAGGGGGGAGAGAGAGAGAGAGAGGGGGGGGGTACTGTGCAGTCAGAGGGGAGAGGCCATCAGGTGCAACGTGCCGTATCAGCAGAATTGAGCGATAGCCGTAAATAATGAGCATGAGGTTTTTTTGGGGGGGTCCAACCAGAGCAACAACGGTCCGCTCAGTCAGTTTCTGCTGGCGGTGTGATCCTGTAAATCTGCCCACTGCGGGACGAATAAAAAGATGATCTTATCTTATCAAGCTGCTCCCTCTCTGAGGAGAAAATGAATATACAAGCTAATTTCGAAGCTTATGTCCCTCAGAAAAGCCACAAAAAGACAAATGGGAAACACTCGTGCAGATTTCTCTCCCTCTCATTCATCACTCACATCCTTTTCACATCCCAATACCGTGGGAATCCATCAGGACTTGTTGGCATAACGGTGGAAGCTGCAGTGAAAGGACGAAAGAAAAGAGGCCAATGAACTAGTGAGAAAGACAGAGACAGACAGAGAGAGAGACCGCTTTCAATTTGACTATTCAGGAATCTGGACACTTCCGAACATGTGCTTTACATGTTGGATTTATATTCTTTTTACATGTTCTATAGTATCAGTATGGCTGCATGATTGATCCTATTCAATAAGGCCTGTGCTGCTATTTCAAAATCTCAAGAGGAGCATATTTGCCAAACGCAAAATATGTATTTAAAAATATCCTCATGAGATGATTAATGATAAATAATAAACAATTTCTCAAATTGAGTTGGTCCATCACCTTTGACCTCGCGGCCTTGGTTGTTTCACGTCACGTGTCCTGGCTCACAATCATAGAGATCGTACCATGAACCTCCGGCCGCATCGAGACCCTCAGCCAGCGAAAGGCAGGTTGTGGAGGGACGGAGGGTTCGACCCCGGTGAGCGCAGGCAGGGAGGGGGGGGGGGGGTTGGAGGTGAAACCCGCCGGCATATGGCCGCTCTGGGAGAGGGCCAAACCCCGAGGCTGTGGATTATCACGGCTTCCTTTCTCTCGCCGACTACAACGCGGAAATATCGACTCGTCTTTTAAAACAGCTGACATCATTCCTTCATTCACTTCAGTACTGTTTATATATATTTCATTTTGTTCCTTTGTGGGTTTTTTTCGTCTTTTAATTTACTCCTTTAATTTACCTCCTCCTGCAGGTCAACAGCATGCAGCTAATCCTAATCTAATAGATAAGACATCCTGGGTCATCTATACAGGAGCTGCCGACTGACCATTCAATTATGTTTGAATGCAACTCATTGCTAATTCATTCTGCACGTTAAGATGCAGATTAGAGATTAAGATGATCATTCGGGCTACATCTTCAGGTCTGGAAAACAGTGCAAGTTAAAGAAGAATTAATAATTAAATTAAACTTAAAAAAATGAAGAAAAAAAAATTCATTTCTGTGGCAAGACAATGTGATTTTAAACTACAAAACCCCGGGACTGGCCAGTAACAGTTGTCACGGGATTCAAAACCAATTCATGGCCTTTGGTTTCTTAACATAAACTAAGTAGGGGAAGCAAACAGTAAAATGTGTTCGAGTTTGGCTCTGAAAGTAGATGATTAATGTAAACTGATTACCAGGAATTAAGAGTGGACACGTTAACAGTTTTAACCTACTTTTATTACTTATGAAACAATTGCCATAATTAACTCAACTATTCGGTGACTACAAATTGATAATAGTTTATTTTCATATTTGATGTGATGTTCGGTTGCCAGTTTTCGAACCCAGATGCCCCCTAATTCATACATTCAAAACCACTCATTTATAAAAATGATATCTACTTTTTAATGACCCCAAAAGCATCTTATGTTTTCTGTTTTTTTCCAAACACACAGGTGTTAACAAGTTAACACAAAACACAACGCAGCCAGGTGATGCTGGAACTCTTAAATAAAGAAAATGCAGCAGGTGTTACGGGGATTTCAGCGACGTGTATCACGAATGTGGGCTCGTGTGCTCGAGGCGGTGCAGGTGCACGAGGCGCGTGTTAGTAGCAGACACGCCCCCCCGAGCCCTCCTGATTTCCCCCCCCCCCCCCCTCCTCCCCAAACAAGCGGCTCAACAACACGGTGACTTCAGCAGAGCAGCGGGGGCTCCGCGCGCTCAGTCCCCTCGAGCCCCCGCGAGCTGCGCTTCCGGGGTCGCTTACCTGAAGCTGGCCGGCGAGTTCACCTGGACGCTGCGGCCGGAGGGCGGGCTGCCTCCCGGCTTCTCTCCGTCCGCCATGCCGTCCCGGTCACCGTCCCTCTCTCCGTTTCCCGCGATGTGCGGCCGCCCGGCGGAGACGCCCGAGGTCCGGCGACGCGGCGATACGGTGCTGCCTTCGCGGACTGTGGGGATAACAACGACTGCGTAGCCTGCGATGTTAAATAAAATGGTCTATTTTACAAACCAGCTCCGCTATTATAGTGAGCCTACAATTAAAACAAAGATGAACACCATACATATTTAATATTGCTAGACATTCCCAACAGAGGCAATTATTCAGCAGAATAGCAAGTGTAAAAATGCTTAAATAACAAGTTGCCGTGTTAACATGTAAAGAGCAGCAGTAGGCTAAACTATTTTCACCCTAAAGGCACAGCGATTGTGTAACATTTCATCAACATCTAACTGTGTTTTATTAAGGATTTATCATATTATCTGACTTACACCACGGAAAAATATCACATTCCGTGTATGGTGTTTACGAGGAGACCTTGAAGGCAGCAGGGGCTCCCACAGAGAGATGGGCTACGAGCTAAAACAGGTGCATCCCGTCAGGGCTGTTCATATCGGATTAATATCCAATTATCACACTCGATATGTGTGGGACCAGCCTGCATGGAACATATGCAATGAATCCTGCAGACCTACTAACAGCAGACTAGTTTATTGCATAAACAAAAGCTGACAGTGTTTAGAGCAATTTGTTTTAAAATGTGGGAAGAAATATATGGGATGTGGAATTTATAAGACATGACTGGAGCTGTGGTACATAACAAAGTTAAAGATGCATCATGGAAAGTTAAGGCTGCGGTAGTTTTAAAGCCATTCAAGTGACTAGAATCCAGGATGGCGCAGCATTTTGAACTTTTAATGCTAATTTTCATCCTGCAACTTTTGTTTCGTTGTGTTTCCATGAGAAATAAATAAATCAAACACGAGCGTCCTTCACTTCCAATAGCTGAGAAATACCACACCACATTGGCAATAACCACAAGTTTCATTACGTTTTTATTAATAATAACATATCTTTACAACATGAACACTTCAAAGCAACATGAGGCCACAATACGTGATAATACTCAATGTCAGATATGCGCTATAATCTCTTGTTTTATATTACAGTCAACAGGCTTAAGTTATTTCACAAGGTAGAAGTGTTGTACTGCACAATAAAGGCATGAGGAATCTTCTCACACATTGCTGGTAAAAGTATTTCTACTCTTCCTGCAGGTCTGCAATGCATTTCCTCTCTTTTCCGCAGTCCGTTCTGAAGATGGTGGTTTTCAGGAATCTTTGGAACACGTGAGTTTCCTGTCACTCAAGTACCTCTGCACCCATCCACAGGGATTGACATCCAGCCGCAGGAAGTTCTGCAACCAGGGACTCCTGTGGGCGCCCTGCACAAACTCGTCCAGTGTAATCTCACCTGCGCCACAAAGAGAAGGAGGGAATCACGCACGGCCAAATATTGAGGAAACCTCTTATTGGGGGGGATTTCCTTTGGATTTCCAGTCCACATACCGTCACTGTTCAAATCGACCTCTTGAAAGATGCGCTCACACACCTGCTCAGTGGTGAGGCTCTGCGTTCCTGTCTCATCGGACACGCAGCCGTTCTTTATCCTGTGGTATATCTGACGGAAAAATCCGGTGAATCAGACATTGTCTCATCTTGAAATGATAAAGCGGTGGACAGCTGACAGCCGTGGGTTGGTTGGTCCACCACTTTGGTCCGGACCCCAAACTAAAATATGTATTTGGGTTCCCATAAAAATATTGCTTAGACATTTGTAGACACTAAATTATCAATCAGTGACCCTTTGATCTTGCACAATCCATCAGGTTAATATTTGAAAATACTTGCTTACTTTTGATTTCTGGCCAAACTGATGGATTTCCCATCATCCTCAGCTGCACTGTGTGTTCAGTGCACATTCATAATTGTTAGCATGCTCACACACACTAAGATAATGTGTGCGTTTAGTTTGCACACCCACTGCTGAAGTTGTTCAGTTGTGAACTTAACTTAGCGTTGGTTATTAATTCTGTCCACATGTGGCCATCATCATAAACCACTAGTAAATAATAAAGCCAACATTAAAAACAAAATAAGATTAAGACAGAAGAACTTAGATGAATATATAATTACTTGAAATATAACAGAACCGAGGCAAAACATTAAGGAAACTCACGTTAAATCAAATGTGGTTTTATAAAATCAACACTATTTACCTTCACAATTTTCAGAAGTTCATCTCTGTCCAGGCGGTCGTTGCGATCGCTGTCAAACACCTTGAAAGACCACCGCAGCTTATCTTCAAGCTTCTCACGCAGTACGAGATTGAGCGCCGCCACGTACTCTATGAAATCCATCGTGTGGTCCTGAAAACCGGGAGAAATCACTCGGATCGGAAGCATGGACAGGTCAAGAGAAAAGAAAATGTTAAAAGCACAAAAGAGCGTTTCGGGGTAAAATAACGATTGTTGCTTTTGTTTTGTCGAAACATTGTCGCTGAAAGCATCTTCGTAACTCACGTGATTCATGTCGAATGCTCGGAAGATGCTGTCCATGTAGTGGGATTCAGGTGTACCATGCTGTACTCCAAACATCTTCTTGAACTCATGCAGGTACAAAGACCCACTGGGGCACTGCGTGATGAACGACCTGTAGAGGGCCTGGATGCATTCCAACTCCAGCCCCTCTTCCTGTGTCTGCACTTGCTGGTTTTGACCCATGCTAAAATCGGCCAACTGCAGCATGAACTCAAAAGATTTCTTCATTCAAATGCAGATGGTTTCTTGAAATCACATCCTACGCTGCCCGCAACACAGTGTCCAGAGTCCTCCTCATGGCGGCTATTGTCGGCCCCGGCCTAGAACGGAGGGGACTGTAATAACCGATTCATGTGATGCTTGACACCAAGAGGCTTATTTTAAGCCTTAGTCTTTTGCAAGCTGTGTTTAAAGCAGTAATCCGCCCACTTGATCCCACCTTGAACTCTTCGAGCTATGGGTTAATAAAATTAGACCTTATAATAGTAACAAGAGGGGCTTGCATTGCTTGCGGATAAGTACACAAAGTACTGCAGGTGATTGTCCAAAGACTCAAACCTTTGTCAAATACTAAGTGGTTGCTTGTGGGTCGAATCCCGGTACAGCGACAGTACGCTGAAGTGCTTCACCTTAACTCTGCATGTGGGTGCAGCCATCAGTTTCACCCTAAACCTACTGTGTTGTGTTAACTTGTCTATTGTGAAAGCCTCATATACACTCACTGCTTACAACTCTATTCCATTGCAATTAAAAAGCAATAAAAAGGCTGTCAAACTCTTTTTCACTCTTCAGTTTTGAACCAGAAACGTTGAGTGTGGACTCGGGTAAACCTGTTGAGCTGTAATAAGTTCATCCCAATGGTTTATGGGTCTGTGGCTGGTAGAAGGGGGCCATGAAGGCTGGTTTCTCTGTGCCACTATGCACTTCTTATAATAAAGAGGCGAGCGTGCATTCTGGGTTTATATTACTGGAAAGATATGAGCGCACGTTTGTATAGCAGCTGGGAAGCAGAACATGACAAGGACAACTGAGTTTATACTGAACTTTAATTCATAGATCAAGAAAAAAAAGCTGCCTTTTACAATAGTAATCAGGCAAAACAAGATTATTTCACAACTTTAATTAAATAGGGACAATGCAGTTCCAGTGATGTTATTTTCACTGAAAAACAAAGCAGTAAAAAAAACAATAGAAAAGCACACTTATAAATCATACACAATTTACATATTGCCACTTTATATGGCTGTGACTTTAGTACTATATACATTAATATATATACATATTTACCAAATAACCGTAATTATTATATTTGTGGGAAAATGCGTCAGTCTGTGAAATAGAAAAACACTGCATCAAATGTGTTTCCTGATCCGTGTGTTGTTGGCGAGTGGTCAGATTTGAGCCAATGAAAAAAGGCCGGTGTCATTTCAAAAGTGGGCCCTCCTCTGTTGCTGCAGCAGCCATCCAGCAGGGTTCAATTCCAACTTCAGCATGTTGAGCACCCAGGGGTCCTGCTGAGCACCTTCAATGAACTCCTCCATGCTTATGTGTCCTGTGGAACAGAAACAATCGAGAGTCTGGGTTAACTTTATCTGGTCAAACAAGAATGATGTTTTTTTCCTTCCATTGCCGTAATTAATACTTACCATCCCCATCACTGTCGACGGCGTTTAGTATTCGATCTGTAACCTCATCTACTGTAAGTTTCGTTTCACCAATGTCGGTCTTTGTGACTTTCTTTATCCGATACAGAGTCTACATAGAAAAAAAGAAATGTTAGAAACAAAGAAAATGTAACATGAACTGCATTTTGGCATAAACTGTGTATGTAATGGTGGGGAAACACTGCTCTGGGGCTGATATCATTTGCTGCATCGGTTTAGACTTTCTTTCCTCTTTTTCAAGCTCACTGTTTTAGTTGCAACCAACACCTTCAAGCCAGTTGTACTTGTAGTTGACATCAAAGTAGACTTACATAAATGATTGACTTTAGTTCCTCCCTGTCCACAAAGCCATTGCCATCTTTGTCATACACCTTGAATGACCAGCGCAGTTTGTGCTCCAGGTCTCCCCGGAAAACAAGGTTGAGTGCTGCCACGAACTCTAGGAAATCAATTGTATTGTCCTGAAAGACAAGCTGAATGAGCAGTTGGATAACATTTCTAAGCATGGGAAAGTATGCCAAGACGCAGCGGCTTTTGCTCTCTTACCCCGTTCCTGTCGAAAGCTCGAAACATGTTCTCGGCATATTCAGACGCCTCTCCTGTCGGGTCCACGCCAAAGAAACGCTTGAACTCGTGTAGAAAAAGTACTCCACTCGGGCACTCCTTAACAAACTTTCTATACATTCCCTGAATCACTTTGACATCGATCTGGTCACTGTTTTCTGTCGGCTGTGTTTGCCCCATGGCTGGCCCTGTAATTCAACCGTCCATAGCCTGTGAACCTTTTGGTACGAACTCCCCATTGGAGTGGCCAGACTTGAACCGGCCGTCTCGTGGTCTTAGCAATATTTTTAAAGCCAGTGGAATCCCAAAGCGCAGGTTCACCTACGAGATTAGCGTGGCCTCAGGATTAAAGCAGTATTATGTTGGTGTGGTTTTCTCCGTGAGTGAATTAGGTTTGCAGCCAGGTAAGGGTCCAGGCCAAAGTCTTTAGGTATTACATACTCCAACATGTAAAATGACCGGTTGGTGCATTCCAATATTGTGACATATACGAAAGAAAAAAACATACATGTCAACATAAATTATGCTCGCTTTGAGTAAAATTGAATTGCTTTTAGAAAACACTAGGCTGTATGTTAATGTAGTCCCTTTGATTGCAATGCAAACTACACTTTCTCATTATTGCAGCTGTTGTGGTGACTATGGCACCACAATCTCTATTTGGCATAGCCCTTTGCTGCAAACCACAAAGTCTACTTACTAAAATAAGCCTGGTAATAAGGAGGTTGGTCTCCTAAGTGAAAGTCCTGTGTGTCATCCATCAAACTCTGGGCTTGTCTTGGTCCTTCTTTATGGAAGTCAGGAGCCGTTTCTGTGATCCTCAATAAGAACGCTTGATTCCCCCCGTCTCTCACCCGTAGTGGACTTTCTTACTTTCAATAACGGTCGTTTGATGTACAACATCACCAACTCTTTTGGACGTTTGTTTGACCAATTGTTCCATGTATTTGTGGCGTCCCAAAAAACAAACAATGCCTGCCATTAAGAGGTGGTCAAGTAGCAGGTATATCAGAACCTTTTCTCTAAAAACAGAAGACTCCTGTTGCTTGATGTCAAGGCTGCATGGAGTTTGCAGAATTTCTTTTTCCACTTACGCAAGGACCTTCAACACAGTTAATACCCTCAAAACGGTTCTAACCTCCTTGAATAAGTTGACTTTTGTTGTCAAATGAGTGAGCCATGTTTATTCATAGAGCACCAGCCACACTGCTGTCCTTAATCAGCTATAGTGCTGTTTTTTTCTGTTTGCAAAACCGACGCTAAGTGGCTAAGACGCTCTGGGTCATGCTAATTTGGAATAGGTATATCAATCTCTTTAATTAGATTACAGACACTCTGCGCATAGGCTAGAGAGACAAGATCATTCAGGATACCTGTGTGTCCAAATGAAGCCCGATGGTCCAACAACGCTGTACTCCGTAGATGGTTGCTCACTGGTGGGTGCAACATTTAAAAAAAAAATTGTCCAGCATCCCACTCCATTTTGAGATTTTGGTAGATTGTTGCAGCGTCTTGGTAAGCAATGCTGATCTTTCATTGTTCAGTGGGTGCTGTTCCTGTCCAATCCACATTCAATGCAATGAGGGACTATCAAGCGTGTTCCTTATTACCCGTGCAGAATAAGGTTGGTGGGGACGGGTAGTCCGCTACAGGTTTTTCAAATCTTTTATTACTTAATATTGGTTTATTTGATTCAGGACAGTTGTGAAAACATTTCTATAAATACGCCAGAGTTAGCCAAAAAGATATATCTTTATATTACAAAATAAAACGAAAAAACAGAGGATGAGATTAAAAAGTTATAGAATGTTGACGCTTAACAATGCTAACTAAGCATTCATTTAAATGAGGTTTAAATAAACTGTGTGTGCGTCGTGCTTTAATGGTCACTGGGATGGAGTTCCGCTGGAACGCAGCTTGTACTGGAAATGCTGACCGACTGAACGCCACGTCATCATGACCGGGCTCCCCCTGGTCCACCGGTAAAAGGTCAGAACATTGGTGCATGATGAGTTAAACTCTTCGTCGCTCATGTTCATTTTAAATCCAACAAGCCTGACAGGATTAGGCTCTTGAAGGAGGGATTCTCCACTAAGGGGTCTTAGCTGCACTCGCTCTCTTCTCATAATCTATGCAGACTACATATAAACTACAACTATGAATTCAGTGCAAAGGCATCTATTCTAAAATACAATAGTAATGAAGGTGATTCGTTTAGGGGTATAAAAATGAATAAAGTTTATTTTTCATAATTAGTGATTATCAAACATGTCCGATTTTGTCCACTAGATGACAATGTTGGTTCACTCGCAGAGCTCTGGGACTGTGGGTTTCAGTGCTGTCCAACCAAAAACATCCGAGAGATCTGGATGTTGCATTTTTAAGACAGCTCCTCTCAACAACAATACTCAGCAGCATTATCTCCAATTTACCTAATTTTTAGCAGTTATCACAATAAATACATATATAAATGCATACAGTATATCCTCCATTTTTCATTTCAAATATACTGCCAATGTTCTGCCATTTATTTTTAAATAAACGTGAAATAGATGGATGCAGATAAAAGCATGCGGTAACAGAAAAGAATCAGCTGACTAATTGATTGGCTGTTGCAGAATGTTGTTACATTTTGGACTATGATGGGGGGGGGTCAATCATTTTGATGCCCATTCTTGTTGTCTGGTTTGAATGTCCATTGGGTGATCACAGAAGATCAGATCAATGGAAGCATCATAGCACCATTAAAAATACCTTTTTTATTCCTCATATCTTACGCAAGATCTGCGTGTACAATACTCCCTCCATCTGTTACCTTCTGTCCATAAAGGGAGGCTTCTCGTGTCACTTTCATCCTAAAGTTCAGATGACAAACAGCAGGCTCAAGACTGGAGAAAGCCTTCATAGAATTATGCTTGATATAAAAAAAAAGGATATTGCATATTATAACAACAAGCCTTAATGCCAAACGTAGATGAGCTACAGTAACTGGTGACTGCTAAGGGAGAACCGTCTTGCCATGTGGCCACTGGAACACTGGGTTTCTATAAGCTCTTCTTTTACAGGAGCTTAATTTACTTATTGTCCAGAACGATGGAGGCAGCAAAGGAAGAGAGAACCTAGCGGCAGACTGGGAGGTTCAGTGAGGATATTTTAATATTGCAAAAGAAATATTCCCTGAAAGGCTGAGAGAAAAAGCAGGTATGGACATCAGGCAGATTACAGACTTTCAAAACTCTGCGTAGCAACGATGACGAACCGGTGAAGCACAAAAGAACCGGGCAGGTGCCACCAGAGACGCAGCGGAGGGGGAACTGGTAACTGCAGGGATAATGAGGCACAGGGGCAAGTAATCAGGGCGGGGCAGATAATAATCATTTTTAAAAAATCTGTTAACTATTCATGTCCGTTGAAAGCCGATGTAACACTCCCACGTGAACACAGTAAGCAACTCCTGCTGTCATTCATTCACTGTTAGAAATCAGTTTGTGTGTGTGTGTTGTTTAACATTTGAATGTGAACATGAGAATATGAGGGATTAATCCATAGACACACATAGATGTATGACCGTGGTTAGACATTGTTTTATATTAACCACCAACAACAAATTCTTAACCTGCAAAGTATTGTGTGACTCCATTAACAATTTGTGCCTTCTAAGCAAAATCCATTTTATTTCCTGTCGTTTAATTGCATCCTTGCTTGTGTTGTCTCCAGAGAAATCAATTCTCCAAAAAGCCCCTCACTTTTTACCAATAATCATTTTGTAATTGCACTTGTGTAACTAACTTTTATGGAGGGCTTACTTGGGCTGAAAATGGGAAATTAAAAGTATTTATTTAATAATATATTTAAACACATCATGTGAAACCTTTATAATTTTCTCTTCCTCACACCCACACTCTAGACTGGACACAATCAGTGGAGGTTTTTCATGCATAACCACTTTGTGAAGCTATAACTAACTATATAATGTATTTGTTGTTGAGCTCTGGTGCCTGTATCACTGTACAGTGTTAAAGTATTGAGCAAAGAAAAATCTCTTTCATAAATGTGTAGGAGATTTTTCATCCCTTTACGTCTCTGAACCAAACATCCTGGACTTGCAGAGAACACTTTTTAAAATGTTTGGACTTTCTTTTCCCTGAAATATTTTTCAACAAAACGTATTTTGCCTTTTTTTACCAAAACATTTTCAACCTAATATAAAAAATTGTACCTATTATTTTTTTAATCTTTCCTTTCCTTGATCTTTTTCGACCTAACATATTTTGCTGTTTTTTCCCAAACATGTTTTTATGTTTTTTCACTCTTTTTGTATGAAATATTTCAATACAATATATTTGGACTTTTTTCTTGTATACATTTTATTTACCAAATATTATTTATGAAGTTATTTTCTTGACTTACACATCAATCCTTAGCCTTATTCACACTCACACACTCACTCACACACACACACACACACACACACACACACACATCATATATATATATATTTGCACAGTTTGGATTGTAGAATGTTCGGTGATGCAATTTCAATAGCTTCAACCCGACACTGACCTTCAATTTCTGTTGTGATGTTTTGTCAATAGCTTTGCTAAAGCGACTCACCTGATAATCCTCCAGTTTGTTTTGACATTATGAAGTTACTCCTGTTCCAACCCGCACTGTGTTATTCAGCTTCCAGTTAATTTTACCACTGACTGGAGATTTATTCTATTATTCTGATTAGGCATCTTTTTCTCTTTCCCTTGTCAGTCAGTTCAGTTGTTGGACCTCAATGAACATGACAGGACTTTTTCTGCAGAGCCTTCACACAAAACCTCCATTAATAACGAGAACTCTCAACAATATAAAAGAGTGGAAGACAATTCCAAGACGCAGATGGACTGTGCACAGTTTACTGCACACTTTTGCTTAAGAGCGACTTCAATACAAGGAGAGTTTCTCATTTTCCACTGAGGACTGTAAGCATCTTCGATAACGTCTAAACTGTGAATGCAGTTATTTTGGGCTGGTGTTGTGGGCTCATGAGAGCCCGACAGGGTGTGTTTATGAAGTTGTTTTTTGTGAAGGGGAGTTGTGGGAATAGGAAGCAGGGTTCGGGTTGAGTGCTGTACGATATTTTGAATCATTTATGCAGTTTCATCCCAGCAGCGCTGCTGAGCTAAAGCAGGAAAAAGAAAAACCCATTGATACTTGGAGGAGTCTACAGAGAGACAAATCAAACTGAAAAGCACCACAGCAGAAACATTACTTCCTAAAAAAGCATTTAAATTTGACA